CGAAGTACTTATAACAGAAGACAAAAGACTTGTAACAGGAGACCGAGTGCTTGCAACAGAAGACAAAGTACCTGTAACGGGAGATCAAGTACTTATAACAGACGACAAAGTACTTGTAACAGAAGACAAAATGCTTGTAACAGGAGACCAAGTGCTTGTAACGGGAGACCACGTAGTTGTAACGAGATGTGATCTCATTGAGGACGGAATGTGCGTACAGTTAAATCTCACGGCCACTGACGAGCCAGCTCAACTAGCAATGCTGTTACAACCAACCTGTGTTGCGCATGACATTGGCCTGCCTGGCGTTTCGTTCGTCACACCGAATTGAAGCGGGTGAGAATCGCTTTCCGTTCAGAGCCACAACAGCTTGGATCAGTACCACCAGGGGTACAGCAGGCTTACAATACGTGATCATTGAAAGCAGTGAAAAGCCATCCTGAAAAGAGGGCATCTGCTTCAGCATATTTGGCGAAAGCTTGTTTTCTTAAATGGTTGTGGAGGAGAATTCATTTTTGGTTTGCAGTGACTGAAATGTATTTTTTGTCCATTAGATTTTGGTGTGCCCACAACGTGCATGTAAACGGGTCCCGATAAGCATATGTATTGTTGTCTCTTCATGCTTGTAAATGCATGCATAAATACCCAACATGTTATCGAAGCATACCATGATAAATTATACGCATATTTCACATTTCAGTATGGAAGAGGGAGGTGCAACAGCACACCTGCTTCACAAAACGGGTGCGTGTAGGGTGAGCTAATGCAAACTGCTCGGCATCCATATCTGGTTTTGTGGACGCACACGTAAGCCTCAAACATGCATTATATATATATATATATATATATATATATATATATATATATATATATATATATATATATATATATATATATGCTTTGGAGCTGCGGTGTGAAAGCGGGCGTAATTTTCAACTTATTCCACTCGTAAGACGTCCAAGTAACACACATGAAGAACAAATGCTCCGGGCTTCCGATTGGACTCAGCCATATTCGGCATCAGTTTACTCAAATTGTGATTACCACTATAGTGCAAGACTGGTCCTCTCGCACGTTCAAGCCTCGCACGTTCATTTCTGAATTTAATAACTGATCTACCAACACCACAAACAGCTTCAAAGAGTGTTTATTTTCCCGCACGCATCCCGCCTGGCAGGCGAAAATGTTAACACATTGATTATTTTAGAGGACCAGGCTGCCTTGCATGAAACGTTAATGACCAACTTGTACCTGCTCAGTGTCTGTGAGTGAAACGAAACGTCGTTTCTGGCCTCCCGTTGTAATCAAAATTCATATTTTTGCTGTAGGTGTACACAGCAATACAATCTCCTATACAGACCCATAAGACCATATATAAGACCTATAAGGAGGCCCGAGAACGTGGAGTATATGTGAAGGCGTTTATTCATATATATATATAACTTTTTTGTCTCTTTGAATATTTTAGCTAATGCGCAATTTTGTAGCTTGTGGAATAGTGTCACTTGATTCGGTGCGCATACCTGCAGTGGCTGAATGAAGCCCTACTCACCCCCTGCACGTATAGTTTCACACCTTATCACCGCGGGATAAGCCTCAGCATAGCAGCATCGTGTGTGGAATAAGACCGAAGCGTTAAAATAATCAAATGGGCACGATTACAGCGACTTACGTCCGTTACTGTCTCAAACGTCAGCCAACCAAGAGTTCAAGCACGTGCACGGCACCCAGCGCCGCCCGAAGCCAGGCACAAGTTCACTTTAAGGTCCTCCTCCCAGGTTCCACGTGCCTCCCGCGCCAGCTTGCAGTTCAGGATCTTGCGCGCCTCATATGAGCGGTGCGTCTGACCCGAGGCCAAACTCTGCGTTTTGATCACGCGTTGGCTGGCGCTTTAATGCAGAGTCCGGTGACAGCGTAGAACACCCGTCTTCCTCATGGAGACTGTGCGTGCCTCACATGTTGCTCGTTGTGGCTTTCGGTATTGGGGCATGCTGTTTTGCTCACTTGTACCCCTGAGGCGTCCCCTGAGGAACCTGATCCTTCAGCTAGTCGGTGTCACAAAACTAGTCAGCTGATACCAGAGAAGGAAAAACATCGTACCGTTGGATTCGAGCTCAAGACCCATGACTCCCGGAGCCCGAACACGAGGATAGCAGCAAGGATGCTGATAATCGCGCCGTCTTCCCTGAAACTCGGCATCAGCGCGAAAGACACTGTACCACAGGTGAATAATATAACAGGCATTAGCAAGTGATCTAAAAGCATGACAATGCATACGCACTCACACAGTGTGTTCGGCATGATGATGCCATTGCGTCTGATTTGAGCAAACGAAAACAAAATTGGCAAATGCCGACACAACTCTGGAAGACCACGATACCCTGAACATATGAACCTAAACTCTTGAATACGATCAAAATGATCTTGTTCAGCGACAGTGGCTGTCTAATGTCACCGATCAATATACTCAAAGATCCCACCGTTCTGCTCCGTGGAGCTCAGCAGATAGTCGAAGAACGAAAGCCGAATCAACGGTCTCAGGCAGTCTCGCAAGAACTGTCAATGACACACCATAGTTACAAAGCGCAGTCTTATCCAACGCATTGAAATGCAGCCTTCCATAAATAAAGGTACCGAAACCATCTCCGAGAACAGCACATGCTCGCAAGAGACTACACCACAGGACACGCAAGCGCACGGTTGGTAAGCTACATTATTGCTCGTGCGAAACGAGCGCCCGTGCCTTGCAGCACGGCCTGCTGTGCTGACACCGTGATCTGACAGCGCACTCCAGGCGCAGAAAGTCGCAGTGGGACACCAGTGACGTCCTCCACTGTAAGAGGGGGGGGGGGGGGGGTGATCAACGTGCGCTGATACGCCCGGATATCTGCCCGGATGACCCCATGGGATCGGCGGCCGGTGCGGACATCCGGCATCCTGTCAACGGGGCTGTGCGGGCGTGACGGACGTACGGCCGCTGGCTCCGACCTCCCGCTGTCCGGCGTGCGGGAAACACGGATGTCAAACGTCCACGCGGTCGACGGGCACGGCTGTGGACGTGGGGACGTACTCTGGCCGAGCCGGCGGGCGCACTCGCAGTCAGCCGGGCCCATCGGACGTGTAGACGAGATTCATCGCAGCCACAGGACGCGCAGAACGCGTGACCGGACCGTCACACCGTTTCAGCCGCGTGGCCGGACCGTCACACCTCCTCAGCCGCGTGACTGGACCTCAGACGCGCGGCCGGACCGTCACACCTCCTCAGCCACGTGACCGGACCGTCACACTTCAAACGCGTGGCCGGACCGCCACACCTCCTCAGCCGCGTAACCGGACCGTCACACTTCAAACGCATGGCCGGACCGTCACACCGCTTCAGACGCGTGGTCGGACCGTCACATCTCCTCAGCCGCGTGGCCGTACCGTCACACTTCAGACGCGCGGTCGGACCGTCACACCTCAGGCGCGTGGCCGGACCGGCACACCCCGGACGCCCGACCGGACCGTCACATCTCCTCCGTCACGTGACCGGGCCGTCACACCTCGTCGTTGGCGACGTATAGGTCGACTCTGGTCTGCTCGCCGGCCAGCACGGCCACGCTGGGCACCTGCGGGCGACGTCGGCGCGTCAGGACAGACATCCCCCTCGCCGCGAGGTCACGACGCGTGAGAACGGCGGGCGGGCGACGCGCGCTGGACAGCGAGACAGCACGCAGACCATGCTGTCGCCTGAATGGACAATGAAGTCGCCTGACGCACACGACCCCGGTGACGGACGCGCCTCAACAGCGCCTGTTACGAGCCCGGGAGCGAGTTGGTGGTGGAGATCCGCACGCGGCGGGACCACCTCCGAATGTCACACAAATCAGCCTTGATCACTCGAACCAGCGGCTGGAGTACGCAATAGAACACCACCAAAACTGGGAGGCGTTCTCAAGAACAAGAGCCGGATAAACCGGAGGCGGCTCACCTGCAGCTGTGAGGCAGCGTGCCATCGAGGCCGGGGACTCGTCACAACCGCCACAATTCAGGCCATGCGTGTGTGGGCACACGGTGACAGGCAGCGGGCACCGCAGGCGACTGACGCCGCTACCAGCTGGGCAAGCCGAAGCACACCGACCAGCCGCGGCCAACGGCCAGAAACAATAACGCTGCAGTGTTAAAGCGCTGCTCGCAGACATTCGTGCTGACCTCGGCAAACAACCATGCACGGAAGGGAGGCGTGTATTTGGACTCCATTACGAATGCCGTCGAGACCTCAAGTCGCACGAAGCCTCAGCTTGTCTTTGTGGCGCGGAGAAACTAACGCGCAGCATCAATCGGCGTCAGCTTCGGTGGTTGCTAGCCCCACCCTACCACCTAAGCCGCATCCCCAAACGAAGAAACACGCGCCGACCTGCCACTGTATTATGCCGCACAGCAGTACGCGCCCAGGTCGGAGGCTGGCCTGCACATGTAACGATCCCGAACACCTGGAAGTCCCTCGAATTAACTCAACAAGCACCGTGATAAGTCATCCCGCCAGAAGGGAAATCGAGCACGTCACATATAAGCGCGATCCACATCATATCGATACACGGATTTCATGACGTCATAAGTATGTATATCATGCCGATCACACGCTCATAGTATGTATTTCGGCACCAGGCATGGCACGGCTCGAAGCAGGACAGCCAAAATAGGAGCCAGCATTCCAACAAACGGTGGAAAAGGCGCAAAACTTTTGGTGAACGCAACTGCCTCTATATCACAGGTTGTACTACGGAGAGACCCGCACTCAAAACCAGTAGATAACCACCGAAATCCGCGCACTGCCAGCTCTAAGCACCGTTAAGTAGCCGCCCACTTCAAAATAAAGGTCGGTGTCACACGGATTCCTGCATGATCAACGCGAAAGACGGCAGCAGCAAGGTCATGAGCCACACACAGGCGATGACGGCGGTCATGCATCGCTAGTTCAACGTGTACACAGCGGGACAGAAACGGACGAATATCCTCCCTAGCGGCACACAGTTGCCAAGACGAAGCTCCGCTGCGCAAACGCCTGATCTACCGACACGCTGCCGGCTGTGTCGTGGCCGTCACGAGCGCTGACGTGACGGTGTGTAAGGAGCGGTGGCTACCGCCGCCAGGACCGCGCTCGATGTCGAGGTCTACGTCTGGGAAACAGCGTCGCGTGGTGTGAAGCGCGAGAGGGGGGGGGGGGGGGGGCGTCTTTTTAGTAGCTCAGGCAAAACCCAGAGACTATGGCGAATTTAGCGACAAAGGAAAGACGTTCCATGTCTGTCAATGTCAATTAAGATGTTAATGTCATCCGAAGACTACCTTCATTAGCTGGCAAAGGGGGGGGGGGGTGGACCAAGGGTTAGGGTCGAAACGGGATAGACGCGCAGTTAGTCAGGTTTGGAACGCGAGTGTCGGCAAGGAGCGAACCAACGGCCCGTGATCTGTCAACAAGTACCTTATGCTCTCAGTGAGTGCACTACTTCATGCGAAGGAGTGACGGAGGGAGGGTCGCGCCCTGAGTCGCGCGCTCATTTGCCCCCGAGCGCGGCGGGGTCATGATCCGATCAGCCGACCGCTTCTCCCGACAAACGACCTAGAGTCACCACCCTGCGTCTATCCGCCACTTTTCCCGTTGACTACGTTAAATTACTACGGTGGGAGGTGTGCCCGATGTCCCCTTCTCCCCCGGAGGCGGGCCACACTGGCGGGCCGGCCCGTATCCCCAGGGTTACACAGCAGCGCACAGTCGGGTAAGACCGGAGGGTGGTGCGTGGCCAGGGCGCCGAGCGACATTGTCGGGATGTTCCGAAACATCGGCGGAGGCGGCACCCCACGGATCGGCGATCCCGCAATAGAAGTTGCGGCCAACTGTTACAATATGACTCTGGTGAGGAACTCGGTGAACAGGACGGCCCAATCGGCCCTGTGAACCTGCTTTAGACCGTTCACGCGCGCAGACAGACATTCAGACACGCTTTTCTGCACCAGCTCCACAAGCGATACACTCCAGGCTCGCCAGTAACGAATACTGCTCGCTCGCCGCCGGTCAAATGCCTCCGACGCAGGTGAGCGGGTGAGCCCCGACAGACAGAGCCTCCGCGCATCGCTGGCTGTGCGCCCGGCCACTGGCGACCGGCGGCCGGCGACGTTCGGCCGCCGCTCATACCTCCTGGTCGCCGGCCGGCCGCGCCTCCAAGGGCACCTCCTCCGGCGGCGGCTTCTCCTGAAACCCGCGCGCGGTCAGAGCGGGTGGAGCGGCGCCGGTGGGACCGGACGGACGTCGGGGCGGCACCGCTCACTGCGGCCCAGCCGTGCCGGCGCCGCTGAGGCTGCGCCGCTTTCGACGATGTGGGATACTTTTGCACTTACTGGCCCACTAAGAGTGGGCTTATATAAACGTGCATACGAAATGAAATGTACAACATGCGAGGAGCCATAGCAAAAAAAACTCACTTAACCGTCGCCGGACAAGTCTACTTTTCACCTCTGACGGAAGAGGGGCCCCACTGAACCGAAAACTAACTTGTTAGCACTAAACGGCCAGTGGCAATGAATGCATGGCAGAAACGGCATCAAATTAGTGCCCTTAGCATCAGCGTAAGCCACCTTTGATGATCAAACCAGACAACCGGCAACACAGCCAATTTTGTATTTTTCGTCCCAAAAAGATGTGTACTACGACAGCTATGGGAAGGGTGGCATTTAGTCCATAACGCGGTGAATTATGAACTTAAAGAAGCTCATCAATTGGCATATTCGTAGCACGCCATATCAGCCCAAGCGGATACAGTACTGTGTGCGAATATTTCACCCCATTATCTTAAGAGCTTATATGATAAGACTACGAAACAAGCTAATCTGAAGCATTATTAGGAATCTGAACCCGTTGACATGACATCAAGAGTATGACATCATGACGTCAAGAAATAACTCCTGACCTCCGAAGGCAGACCTTATTTTTTGGAACCAGTGGTAAAACGTTAAAAACTCAGCAATTGAACACTAGGCATCATGCATTTAGTGATACTAACGTTATTCCAGGGAAACCTCCAAGAGCCTCTGAAGTCCCCCCGCCCCCTCGTCCGGCGCGGGTTAATGCTGGCGTCAAGACGCTTCCATTCACAAAAAATTCCACGGCAACAACAATCTAACATAAAACACTGAGCGCCAACACAAGATTCAAACAAGCCCTCCAGCCGACTCGGTCCGCATCGCAAGCAAGGCAGCGCACTTTCCCTCAGGCATGACGGAGCCGGCTGTGCGCGGATGCAATGCCATCTGTCGGCCGTCTGACCTGGTTGTAGTTCTGGTACAGCTCGTGCTCGCCGGCGGGCGGCGTGTCGCTGGCCGACGACGGGTCCTGGTTGGAGCCGTACGAGCGGCGCCGAAGCTCGGGCGGACTCCGCGCCGGGCCCGCCGTCGGGTAGGAGTACACGTCGCCTGGGGGCACCGGTCAGGTCAGCGCGCCGAGGGTAGGAGACCAATACCATGGGCCATTTGTGGGGTGGTGGCCTCATAGCCCTTGAAACCCTGATGCAAATAGGACCCAGACATACTAAGATTCGCAACATTACATCTCGCGACGCTACCTCAGAGCTCCCACGCACTAAAACGCCACGCAGTTCAGGGCCAAAAACATATCCAAAATGGAGTAATTTTACATGATCAGGGCCAGGGCACCATGGCATTCCAATGGCGAATGGCTCTCTCCCACGGCGATTTGCAGCACTGGCACACCGCCACAACGCAATGACTTCGGCTAGAACGGCGCCCACCGGCTTATACATCTGTCTTCCATTCTATCGCTTACTAAACGTCTCCCCTACCCTCCTCGGCACGATGCTTCACGCGTCTGCGCGGACCCCCAAACGCGCCGCGCGCGCACTACGGACCTGTGTCCCTGACCCGGACTTGGGGCGCGCGCTGTAGCACAACGGGCACGAACGGACGCTGCGGCGGCGACTCTTCGCCGCTGCTGACACCGCTCTCTTCTGACGGAGTCGGCTCCATGCTCTGGTGAAAGACGGGAGACGGGGGCAGCGTTAGCGGCTCTGGTGGGAGATGAGAGACGGGAGGCAACGTTAACGGCTCCGGTGGGGGACGGGAGACGGGAAAAAGAGTTAGCGGCTCTGGTGGGAGACGAGAGACGGGAGGCAACGTTAGCGACTCTGGTGAAAGACGGGAGACAGGAGACAGCGTTAGCGGCTCTGGTGGGAGACGAGAGACGGGAGGCAACGTTAGTGGCAGGGTAGCGTCGGCGGCCGACACAAACGTAACGTCACGATGCCGTGGTCCGGTAGGACGCAGCCAACAACTTACCAGTAGGATGCTAACAGTCTATTCGGTCGGGTGGTGAGGGATGCAACAAAAACGAGCGTCCTGGGTATTACACCTGCGGCCCGCCTATACAAGGGTGCATAACTAATCAGTGCAAATTTGTATATAAAGTGAAAGATTTTACCCCTAAATCACTGCAAAGCCCGGCACAACTGACTGGACGTAACACAACGTGTCCCCGCTCAGAGCGCAAAACGACGTCCTTAACTCGGCGCCGCCAGACCGGGCGCTCTCCCACGCACCGTGTATCGGATGGGGCTGCACTGCTCGAACCAGTGGAAGAGCACGTGCGAGAGGAAGATGGCCAGCGTGGCGCTGAGGCCGATCAGCGAGTAGATGGCGATGTCGCGCATGCCGCGCCGGATGTACGAGAAGAGGAAGAGGCACAGCTGCGTCAGCACGATCGACAGGATGACGAAGTTAATGGCGGTCACGTGAATGCGCTTCTTGATGCGCGACGCGCCGTAGGCGAAGTACAGGTTGTGCTTGTCGACCAGGTGCTTCAGGATCATGTAGACCAGGCCTGGCGGGGAACGGGCGGGCGGTGAGCGCGATCCGGCCACTCAGCACGGGTCGAACGAAGGGGACGCAGACAGAGGCACAGCACACGTGCTCCTTCCGACAACGATGTGTGATGAAGTTCATCGCGCCTGGCCAACACCGGACCAACGTCGTCCGTCCATCACTACCCGTGGGAATCTCGCCGCGCTCAGACGCGGCAGCGGGGTCCACAGCCCTGCTCTGACCTCCCCAGCGAGGCGGGCGCCGCCGGCGTCTGGACGCCACTCACCGAACGGCGTGATGAGCGGGCAGAGCAGCGAGTACACCACCGTCATGGCGAAGATGAGCAGCACCCAGCCGTACTGGATGCCGAACGGGAACTCCCACAGCACGGCCGCGCGTACGCTGGCGATCTCCGCCTGCGACCTGCCGGGCCGCCAGCACGGCCAGTTAACGGCGGGGCAGCGGCTCCGGCGTACACGGGGGCGAGCTGTTGCGTATGCCGAGTAGGATGGCACCAGGAGGAAGGACAGCCCGTCATTGTCAGCCTTTGTACCGATAGCGGACCTGTCGTTTCCAATAGCATGGGAGGGTCCAGGATACAATAAAAACAATTATTGGCGGAGTTTAGTCCTGGTCCGGACGAGCTCCCCGCCGGCGGCGCAGGCATTTCAAGGTCGCACGGATCTCCTGATAGGGAGGACAGCGCGCATGTCAGGGCTCGCAAGTCAAACTCGCATCCTGCAACAGCACGCGAAAACTCGGCCCGAGCGTCCGGCAGCGGACAACGGCGTCATTAGGGTACACCCACTCCCACGGGCGTACAGCATCTCTGGAAGCGGAAGACGTCGCCGACATACCTGGCCATGCACATGCGCAGGGCGTACACGAACAGCTCGGGGAAGCGGATGATCTCGAGCGCGGTGCCGATGAAGGCCGACGTGATGACGTAGTTGACGAAGAAGGCGCCGTTGTCGGGCAGGAAGACGCACTCCCAGCGGTACGTCTGGTTCTGCGTCTGCACCGCCCACTCGACGAAGGCGCGCGCACTGCCGCACCGGGCGTGGCAACACGTCAGTGGTGGTCAAGGTCGCGGTGGCGAGGTGGAGGGATGGGAGAGACGAAGCAAAAGGACAGATGACGTGGAACATAGAGCAAGTCGTCCAGCGAGGGCGGATGTCCAGCTGGACGGTGTACCGCGGGTTTTACATTGTACACTAGGCTTGGATGGATGCTGGCACCGGTCTCTGCCAGTGCACCACGCAGGACATGTCAGTGACCCAGCCCTCGGCTGACACACCACACCTGACCTCTGTCGACGGTTCAACGCGGACGTTTTGTTCAGAACTCCTACGACAAACGAGCGCAAAGCACAACGCAGCTCATTTCCTCATGACTAGCTTTCTTCTCATCACTAGCTAGCTTCATAACTTTCGTCAAGCGATTCGTCACAATGCTAAAGCACATTTTGTCTCTCCGCACTGCCCACATCAGCACATCACCTCCGAGGGCTGCACATCACACCACCGCGCACACACTGGCGCGTACCTGGTGAGACCGAGCGACGGCAGAATGAGCACCATGAAGAGCAGGAAGATGAAAGTCTTGACCATGACCGAGTAGTTCTCAGAGGAGCGCGTCCAGTGGAAGAGGAAGCGGTCGGAGAAGGCCACCAGCACGGGCATCAGGGCGGCGATCGTCCAGAGCAGCAGCGTCGGCAAGAACTCCGACACCAGCGAGCTCTGTCGCAGAGGGCACGCAGGCCGTCAGGTAGACTGCAACCGTCGCTGGCGAGCTCGGACTCTACCAACGCCTGGCTAACAGACGTGCCTTAACGAAACACGGCTACAGAAAAACAAAACAAACATGAACTGGATTAAACGTGGCCACGCACCCAAGACAAGGGCGTTGAACAACCACTAACAACGTCAATGCAGCCAGAAAAGTTCCCCGTAAATAGCCAGCCGCCAGCCAGGGCGATCAACAGCGCGCAGCCGCCAGCCGGCCCCGGCGTCCGTCTCACCATGGCCTTGACCCGGTCCGTCAGCGACACGACGTCGACCGAGTTGACCACGATCACAGGCGTGGTCATGAAGAACAGCACCAGGAACAGGATGATGTTGATGAAGAACGAGCGGAAGTACCACCAGAAGGACGAGTGGTTCAGGTTTTGCCTGCAACAGACGGAGAGGGAAAGTGATCTTTAGTGACATGAACCGCAACAAAAATAAAACAACACCATTGGCACACACATACATAGAAAAATAGTATAAGATCCGCCAGACAAAGACATACATCTTCTACAGTACATTACGCCCAACAAACACGAACGGCAGCCCACGCAACTCGGGCCCGTCCCTGCCCATCTCAGCAGCCCCGCGCCATGGGCCCCTCACCGCCGCAACAGCCGGCGCGCAGACCCCCCGCCCCACCACATGAGCCGCCGCCGCCCTGCGGCCAGCCGGGCCGCGCTCGGCGGGCGGCCACTGACCAGTAGATGTCCTCGGGCGGCGGCGCCACCTGCACCTGCCAGCGGTACGGCTTGAGCAGGGCGCTCATGCTGGAGGCGGGCGGGTTCTGGCGGCACCGGCAGCCCAGCAGCAGAGCGTGCTCGTTCAGCACGCGGGAGGCCATCTGAGCAGAGGGCGGCGCAGATGAGAGCGGCAGAGTCGCGCCGGGGTCAGGGGTTACGTCGAACAGGGAAACCACCCTCTATTTACGCGACGTAACCATGAGGCCCAGGAACACACGGGCAGGGAGATGTAGAAGGTGACAGGGGGACTGACAAGATTGACCGGGGAATTAAGGACCGAGTTACGTGTGATGAAAATAGGATTGGACCTAGTTACGTTTGGTACAAATATGATAACAGCACAGCAGCACAACACATGCTAGTCAGAACCCTGCCATCTTACTGTGCCTTAAAACTAAAACCGTCGTGGCTGAGAAACAGGTAAGACAGCACATCGCCAGTATCCACTGATTGTCTGATGACCACGAACGTCACAAAAGTACGTTGCAAATTCTATCAACAACACAACTCCACTTCCACCTCACACTGCACCATATCCTGCCAACGTGTCAGCCCCCCCCCCCTGTCTGAACCAAAGTCGGCTCCCCGCCGTGAACGCTCGTCGGGCGTGGGCAGCTCACCTCCTTGCTCCTGAAGGTGATGAAGGCGATGCCGAGCGGCTGGTTGAGGGCGGTGGCCTTCTCGATCTCCACCTGGCGGCTCAGCCTGCTCTCCTCGCGCGAGTAGTGCTGGATGGCGTCCACCTGCGCCCCGCGTCACAGGTCACGGCTTAACGAGGTCAGGCCACGGCTCAGTGAGGTCGGGTCATGGGCCAGAAGGGTCAGGTCACCATCAGCGAGGTCGGGTAACGGGATAACGAGGTCAGATCACAGGCCAGAGGTCAGGTCACGGCCAGTGAGGCCGGGTCACGGGCCAGAGGTCCGGTCACGACTCAGCTAGGTCAGGTAACGGTCAATGAGGTCGGGTCACGGTTCAGCGAGGTTAGGTCACGGGCCAGTGAGGTCAGGCCATGGGCCAAAGAGGCCAGGCAACAGCCCAGTGAGGTCAAGTCACGAGTTGGAGAGGTCAGATCAAGGGTCAGCGAGGTCAGGTCACGGGTAATCAAGATCAGGTCGCGGATCAGTAAGGTCAGGCCAGAGGTCAGTGAGGTCAGGCCACAGGTCAGTAAGGTCAGGTCACGGGCCAGTGAGGTCACGGTCACAGACCAGCCGGGTAACGGCTCAGCCAGGTCACGGTCTAGCGAGGTCACGGTCACAGTCGGATTTCCACAGTAGCCGCCGCGACCCAATGAGGAGCGCCACCAATGATACGCAGGCTGACATACGATGCAAATAAAATGACACGGTGAGCGGGATCGATTAAGTGGATGCACGCAAGTGGCAACTGCTGCAGCTGTGGTTGTAACACCAGCCCGGATTGCGTCAGCAGACAGCTGGCATCACAGCCTACAGCGAACGACTGAATGTTCTACGGCCTGCGGTGGGTTTAAGAAGCCCTCCGAGCATAAAACAGTGTATAATTCAGCGCGAGTGCTAATATGCGGCAAATAAGTTATTAGAGCTTGGCGATCTCCGCGTGAGCATTATTAATGAATCAGCGCTAGGATTTCGTCGCGGTTGCTTACAAACCCGCCATTCGGTACCACGCCAGCCATACAGGCTCAGCACGGTCGCCACGTGAGCGGGCTGGCTGGGGTCGCTGTCGGGCCTATCCAGCCGCCCTCACCTCCTGCGGGGAGGACGGGGGCTGGCCGAGGCGGCCGGGGGCGGAGCAGACGGACCGGGACCGGAGCGGTGCCAGCACCGGCGTGGGGTCGGAGTCGGGAGAGGGTGGGAGCAGTGCCGCTGCCGAGCTGCTCTCGTCAGGAGGCGCGACCAGCTCCTGCGCCGGCCGAGGCGGGTCAGAGGACAGGAGACACAGATGAGGAAACGGTCAACGCGACTTGGCAGGCACGGGTGAAGGACAAGGGCAAGAGGCTGCTGATGAACATCAGGCCTAGACTACGTTCTTGTTTGCAGACTGTAATACACGCTGAAAGCACTTTTGTGATGAGAACGAAGATGGCCAAGTGCATGTCAATAAATATATTTAAGGCATTTGATGATGATTTGGGCTTTGGGGCGCACCGACTTCGTTGGTCATATGGCGCCCATGTTTTTGAAACAGGCCAAGATGATCAACGATTTTTCGGCCTGAATGAGGCCCGTTGATCATTTCCGCTGGTATGAAAAATCCGAAATACGACCACTGGCATGCAGCTAATCGCCAGCGTTCCGATCACAATGTCTACAATCGTGCCAGAGACCCGATATACACTCAGAATGAACTTTTGTCTAAGACGCGACATACGTGACGACTTATGTGATCAAACTATGTGCACAAAATCAAACAAGATGGCAGGATGTTGCTTGGCAACCAACCACAGCGAAGAAACGCGCGACACCTTTGACTAATCTGTCAATTTCGTGCAGAAATCCCAACAGCTGATCGAACTGGAACAATCGAACGCGACAAAAGCAACTCTGTATCCGCCGCAACGCGAGACTGGCGCCATGCCCACGTAGTGCAGGTTCCTTCCAAACGGGTCTCCCACCACAGGCCTCAGCCTCGCCAGAGGACACCAGGCCCCAGCGCGGCCCCGCCAGCCGACGCGGCACGGCCAGATCGGCACTGAGCGCCGGTACACGGCGGCGGCCGCGGCGCCACGCCGAAGTACCTCGACGCAGCCGCAGAGAGAGCAGCAGCAGCAGAAGTGGCCGCAGACGTACGGCCGGATAGCCAGCCGGTCGCCGGTGCTGGCCAGGTACTCGTCGGCGTACAGCCGCGCCTGGAACATGGCGTCCCGCTGCTGGTCCAGCTCCATCAGCCGGCTGATGTTGTAGGAGAACTGGATGTCCTGCAGGCCCACCATCGGGTACGCCTCCCTGCGGCGCACGCGGCAGTGGCGCGGGGTAACGGGACGCGTCAACGACCGACACACAAACACAGAACCCGACAGCAACGGTAGTCATTGTTTGGTTACGCTCACTCGCACGCTTGCCAACGCTTCCACGGATCGGACACTCGAGCAAAGGTCGCCCAGGGGGCTTAATATCTCCTGCGCAACTGACCAGCCAATAGGGTTCCATCGTAAAGGGCAACTCCAACGGTTCACAAACTACCCACAAGCACGGCGCCTTCCTCGAGAGACGCTTTCAACACTCTGAACCTCTCCGTGACAGTCCGTTACGGCCGCCGCGCCCCGGGGCTGCGGGCCGGGGCGCCGCGCCACTGCCATCGCGCCTCACTGGAAGTGCTTGAGCAGGCTGTTGCGGTTGCACGCCTGGCGCGGGATGCTGGTGATCATGAGCGTGCGCGACACGGCCGACGTGTCGTCGCCGCTGATGTTCAGCTGCGACGAGAAGCGGCGCATGATGTACACGCCCAGCGGCAGGAACAGCACCGACAGGCTGACGTGCAGCCACAGCCACGCCGAGCTGGCGGCGACAGGTGGCGGCATGAGACGCACGCGCCGAGTGCCGACTGCCGCGGTCTGGTCAACAAGTGCAGGCGCGGCGGGCCGTCCTTCAAAAGCGCAACACTCGCATCGGGGTTTTCATGATCAGGGTTGCAGCAGTACTGCCGGCGATCGAGGGGCCTATTATTTATATAAATTGGGTTGAGCCCGTCATAGCCCTGCATCAGAGCGGCGTGTCCGCCAGCGCCAATTGCAAAACTTCCCCACAGCCTCAGCACAATGCAAATTCCCGCAGGGCATGTGACATTCAAAATCAAATAGCATCTTTCATAAATTGTAGGCCACACAAATGAACCTACATACGCGTCATGGGCGGAACAAAGCTGTCACGACATGTTCCGTGCGCTTCAACACCGTCCATCAGTTAACGATAGGCCGAAGCCGGCTGCGCGGCGGCCACGTACGATGGGTCGAGGTTGGTAATGGTCGTATGGCCGAAGTCCTTCTCCTTGCCCTCCAGCTTGCCCTGGAAGTTGACGGGCAGCACGATGCCGATGGAGATGAGGGTGACGATGGAGAGGTAGACCATGATGTGCCGCTGGAACGACAGGTACTGCACCGCATCCGAGCCGCACTTGCGCAGGATATCGTCATCCCTGCCGGGCGCAGGCGGGATACGTAAGGTTTCGCGCAGCGCACCTCGTCACTTGGTCCGTGACAGGCCACTGCAGCGGCCAGGTAAGCACCGCGCCTTAGCGGTGTCGGCTGGGAATCGAATCCAAGCCTGCCAAGTACAAATATGGCATTCTTCCCATTAAGCCCCCCAGAGAGTCACTTGCGCAGTTATTATCAACAACGTTCGCCAACCATTCTGATGCCACTGACATAAAATACGGTGTCACAATTCAAAGCGCGGTTGTTGCGTCAGTCACGGAAAGACTTGTGTGAAGAGCAGGCCAAGCGACCACAGGAAGGCACAACCTCAGCAGCTACCACACCGCCCATTCCAAACAAAAGGGAGGAAGTAATGAACATAACCACCGTAGCGCAACATACCAACAGGTGGTAACGGACAGCAAAGACACCGCGCCCGAATGACACCACGCTGAGTGCGGAGCAGCCGCGGGGGGATCAACAGGCGACAGGAGTGACAGCACCCGCACACGCACGCCCACAGCGTACTTGATTTTGAATATAGCGACAATCCAGGAGAAGAAGCCCCGGTCGACCAGGATGCTGGAGTCCATGTTGTGGAAGGACTCGTCGTTCATCCGCAACCGGCCCATGGCCTCCTCGTTGCCGTAGAAGAGTTGCGTCCATCTGCAGGGTGAAGTCTGATCAGCATGGCCCACAATGTGAAAAATCAGGCCTTCACATTTACCCACGAGAAAGGATTAGACGTTTTGTAAGTACACATTTATACTTACGGAGATTTGCAATGAAACGAATTTGTGTACCCTCTCAAGAAAGCACCATTTGACATAGCTTTCAAAAACGAGCTCGTATCGTCAGCAACGAAAAGCCGTCCGCGTTGAAGTACATACATTCGCCATTGTGAAACACTTCCCTTGAAAAAATCATGCCAAAAATGGGCCGTCACCAATGTTTACTTACACAGCACTCGGGAGCCCACCAAAATAACTCCCATTACGACGGCGGCTAGCATGGGGCGTTGACTTGTTTAACACGCGGCGCAGCCACACAGCACCACCACCACACGGCCCGAAAAGGGACGGAAAATGTCCACCACAGCGTAAAGGGACAGGCGGACGTCACTTGCCCCATTTGACCAGACCACCCAGAACCGGCGTGTCTGCCCACACACGACCACGAGCAGGAGGGCAAGCGCGAGACCAGCCGCGCGCCACGAGGTCGCACAGACACGCATTGCCCAGAATCTCCGGCCATTTGCCGCCGGTCAAGAGGGCAGAACTCCGGTCAGATCATGCGTGTCAGTCAGTTTAAAACGGACAGGGTGCGGGAGAAAATACATACAGAGGAGAATGTGGGACGAATGAGCAGAGAAAGAGCGGGAGGGGGGGGGGGGGGGGGCAATTCCAGGCAAAATAAAACGAGAAAGCGACAAATAGCGAGAAGGCGCGAGCACGCAAGAGACCACCCAGCTTCAGGCCCACGTGGTGTCAGACCACCGCCCTGCGCCCAGCTCCTCCACGGCACACCTGGCAGGCACCCCCCCCCCCCCCCACACACACACCGACCGCGCGCGCCCGGAGACCCACAAGTCACCAGGCGGGTCACGTGACAGCAGGCGGCAAGGCGGCCCCGCCCACAAGCTACGTACATGTTGTAGGTGCCCTTGGAGAAGGGGTTAAGTAGCATTCTGTAAACAGCGGCGGGCGCGACGTCAGCGGGTGAGGGGGAGGGGAGGGTAAGGGAGAGGGACGGGGCAAGCCGGTCACATGCGGTGCAGTCGAGTTCGTGCATCATCGACTACGTGAGTCCCACTAAAGCGTGGATGACTGACAGCCACACGCACACGCACGCACACGCAGGTGCGTGACGTCCCGAAGCTCACACGCACACGCGCACGCACACGCACACGCACACGCACGCGCAGGCACACTCACAGGCGGAACGGGCGGGAGGTAATTGGGGGCGGCGGGGCCCGGTTCGGTTGGGCGCAGCTGGGCTGGGCGGCGGACCTGTGCACAGGTGTGATGGGGTGAGCTCACAGAGGTGGACGACAGCCGAGCGGGGACCGAGACATACCGACACGCGCCGACCGCCGTCAAAACAGACCTGTGTGGACCGGCGGGGGGGTGGGGACATCCACTGCGAGTGGTCATGGCACAAAGGGGAAGGGGGTGGGCTGGGGTGAGGGGTGATGGTGGGGGCACGGGTGTGGTGAGGTTGGGTGGAAACATAGCATTTGCAACTAGGGTTGGCATTTTACGTTGCTAAAACTAGTTTCTATCACTTTCTGGCATCCATTGAAATTGGCATTAACTGGCATGCCACTGAAAAGCTGAAACGGTCCAGCCGTCATGAACTTTATTCCCACATCTTTTTTATCATAACTTTATTCCAATATTCCCATATGCGTTATTTCCAATCTATAATTTTATTCCCACCGGCACATTTTCTATCAATTCGAAAGCTAGTTAAGTTTCAAGATTTACATCGGTTTATTTTCGTAGAATAGGTTCAGGGAAAAAGCAAGGGAAATGGCTAAAGCCATCACCAAAATATAAAACAACCAAAACAGAAACGCAGACGTCGCTTCCATATTTGCCACACTATCCTGTAAAAAATGTGAGGGGGAAGGGGGCTAGATCCTTTTTAACTGAATAGATAGCTACGCTCCTGTTCTAAAAAGCAGCAACAGCTCACAAATGCGACAGCAAGATCATAATACATGACGTATGCCTCAACTGGCACAAATATTAGTATTCAAACCCTATACTCTGCACCCAATAACCAAGGTCTGAGGGGTCCGTGACTGCCACTTCGGCAACCAACCGCAATGTGCTCTCCCTGCGACCTGAATTTATCACCCAGTATAGAACACGTGAAACACCATGCCAACAAACTGTTTGGATAATGAGCACGACAATGTCAGCCATATCTCCAAAGGTGTGAGATAATGCATAACCTTCGCTCACAAATGTCACTACCCATTGGCGTTGCGTTTTTGCCAGTGTGGTGGAGAAGGTGGTCTGAAATAAGCCCACCAAGTCAAAGAGACCAAGGGAAGTTCGAAAAATACACCTTACATGTTGGGAGCCTTACATTTCGGTTTACACCATATGTTTGATAGACTTTGCCATCATGCATTTACATCAGGCATGAGTGCAATGCCGGCTTCGGCTTCGGCTTGGCGAGGACACCGTTTTCCTCCAATGACTTAGGGGCTTTGTCGTTATTTCTGTTCACAGCAATCGTGAGCTTACTTCGTAAAAATGTTCTGCCTGCCCTGTCGCCCCAATGTACCACATAGCATAAACGGATGCAACACATACATGGCTGAAAGACAAAACCATCCGGCCGTTCTGATGACCGCGCAACACCTAGCTGTAAGGAACTAATCGTCCGCAATGTTGTGTAAGCAAAAACTAGCACGCCACACGAAGACGACGTCCGAAAAATCATCCACCCATAATGCTAACACCTTGTCTCGATCACTCCGCAAAACCCTCACGACATTTCCCCATCCCATATCATTTCAGCAGACGCGAAAATGTTTTGATTCCACAAAAGAACGCTGTTCACTAGACTTAGGTTTGGCCCCAGCTTCGTCAACCTCAACTGATGATGGGCTTGGCTTCGGTTTCGCCTTTCCCCTAAGTTCAAGGCAACTGAATTTGGCCTCGGTTTCGCGTTTTCAAAATTCGAAGTCATTGGCTTCGTATTCGGGTTTGCGTTTTAAAAATATGAAGCCTCTGGCTTCGGCTTCAATTTCACAGTTTTTCACTTCGCAGCCAACGGCTTCAACGTCGGCTTAATGTCACGGCCTTGAGCTCGGATTCCATTCCGAATCCAGAAGCCCAAAAATCATTGACATATATATATATATATATACACATAATATAGTTACAGTCATATAGATATGTAGATATAAATATATATTGCATTGTTGCCATTACTTACAGTACAATGCAAACATAACGTAAATGTCCGTATCACAAGGCCAAACAAGTTTAAATTGTACAATAACACGTAAGTTGTTGTATATGCTCATGAATCGTGTCTGTTACAGTGCGTGAGAGTAATGAATCCTGGAGGCACACCTGTGGCCCACTGTTACACTCATGCGTTATGTCTGACAGGTCGAAAAGCGGGAGCTGAGGCCGACTGGGGACTGCACTGGTTTTCTTGTAGCCAGGACTTAACGGATATAGTACCACGAGGTTGAAAAAATACATATCGCGTGCCCGTTGCAACGTTCGTCAATATTTTATGCTCTTCTCACTACATCAGCGTAAACATCAGTCCATTCGTTAATTTTTTCATAGTATTCTGAAAAAGTGCACTTCTTGTTCACGAATTTGTTTTTTTTTTTAAATTTCATGTTGTTTCAGTCAACCCAAATAACTTCCGATACCTTGTAACGTCAACGCGCTTTTACCAGCTTCTGCCAGTGTTTGCCACTAATAGTTTCCGCCAGGCGATTTGACGCGGTAAACGGCGGCTTGACGAAACTGCGGTTACCACCAGCCAGCCCAGTCAGCACCGAAGGGCCGGTGTCGGGTCTCCCGCTGACGCTGCTTCGGTGCACCGTCCGGACAGCCCGTGCATCCCGATGCACCGGCCCGCCGTGTGCACAGCGACATAGCTGGTGACGACCACTCCGGTCCAGACACGTGGGCCAGGTGACCCTGCAGCCCCCCCCCCCCCCGTCCGACACACATAGGGCGCCGTCCGGCAGCCGTGACCCACCTGCGCTCGTTCTTGTGCACCAGAGCCAGTCGGCCGTAGTTCCAGGCGCTCTTACGCAGCAGGGAGAATAGCAGGATCAGGCCCTGGAGACAACGAAGGGCGCGATTACAGGTGGCGGTGGGGGGCGCGCACCGCTGGCTCAGGTGCGGAACAACACCACAAATGGGCGTCGTCGTCAAACGGCACCGTTTTAGGTGCGGGACAACACCACACATCGACGCGGTTGTCGAACGACACCGTTTTAGGCGTGAAACAACACAACACATCGACGCGGTTGCCAAACGACACCGTTTTAGGCGCGGAACAACACCACACATCGACGCGGTTGTCGAACGACACCGTTTTAGGCGCGAAACAACACCACACATCGACGCGGTTGTCGAACGACGCCGTTTCAGATAATGACGGTACAGATCAAGACTGTTTGCCCGCTTTGCTGCGGGAGCGAGGGATGGCGATTGCCACTAGTGTGCAGACAAAGGCTAGGCGCACATTTTTAAAGCGCTGTCTTGCCGCAAAACAAAATTCGAAAACCATTCCCCATGCTCCAGTGACCCCGGATGGCCAATAGCACGGCCTATTTCAATATGATTTATGAGCTTGAGGGCCACAAAATCAGCCTACGAATTAGCACCTGCCATCCTGGTCACATCGACCGACCCGGTCGATATGATCCCCATTGACCCACCCGACCATGCAGCCCGACCAAACGAGGCGCCGATGCGCCCAACTGACGTGGCCCGGTACCGCGCATTGCACGGCGAAAATGCCATTCGATGCGCAAGGCGCGCGGAAAATCGCAATGTGTTCCCGGGAGGTACTGATCGCCGGGGCGCACAAAATGTTCCCACCAACTTAGCCTGGAAAGCTTCCAGTGGCCAGTTTTCGTGCAATCACAGAGCGCGGAACAAATGGGGTCGCCTCTGGAACCTCAAACGGCGGCTAAAGAGCACATCTTGCCATAAGCACGACAGAAAACTAAGAACAAAAATACATAAGAACGAACAGAAACAGCACAAGGGTAACTACGCGCTTCAGTAACTACTACAGCACCTTTAATACGCCCTCGGGTAGGGTGGGCATCAATCTGGCCTTATCCCGCTGAGGTTTCGCCAGTACAACTCGCGAATGACGCAGAAAACCGCGCCAGACTTTGTCTAGGTACAAACAATTTAACAGACGATGTTTTTGTATAAAACGGTGCCTGTACCTTATAAAGTCGCTGGCCTGTGGCAGGTAAAAGTCATGCCATGGTTGTCAGCGAACGCAATTCCTCGGTAGTCTTGCAACCTGATGTGAAAACTGAGTGTAAGCGGAAGTCATACAATATGAGATGGCTTTTAAGTCAATCAAACGATTTGAATTAGGATTAAGACTAATTTCGTTGCACTTAGGCAAAGTATAAAGGTTAGGCCAAGGCCAGAGCCAAACCGCTCTTTCAATGGAAAACTGCTCTTAGGGTAGAGGTAGTTTTCAACGATCATTTCGATATCGTTGGTCACAAGAACGTCATCCGATTCCTATTTGAAATTCGTGGAGGTCAAAGGAAGTTACTGACCTAAACTGACATTGGACAACTTTTTGCTTTCAGAAACATGTCGCCTGAGATAGCTCTTGACCTTGGTTGTAGCTTCAAATATCAAAATAACCTCGAAGAGCTTTGGCCATTTTCAGCTTTTTAAGGCCAAGTATAGCCACTGATCTGATCTGAGCACAAATCACATTTTTACTGCAACATGCACCGAGGTCAAAGCTGGCTGAGTGAGGAGGTTTTAGGGCACTTCGAAACGTATCTCGAGTATCTCGCGTATGTAACCCGAAAGTCACGACCCAGGGACTACACAATTTGATAAAAATGAGTTCATATACAACTCTGCGTGCTTGTGAGTTTGGTGCGTCCATCTCTCTTGATTCTGAGATCTCAGGATGAGCAAACTGCCCCCTCCCCTCCCACCCGGGCGCTTCACAAGATTTAACCGGCCATCCCTCTCGTGTGTTAATGATGTTTTGTGGAAGGAGACAAGCAGCAATGTGCATTGCGAGCAACAGCAGTGAAACATCAATTGTCCCACCCTTCTCGCGTATTACGGTTTTGTGGAGAGAGACAAGCAATAATGTGCATTGCGATCAACAGCAAGTAAACATAAAATGTCGCGACAAAAAGCCGCCCCATTCCAAAGTCACATTTTGATATATCCTCCACAACATCAATTTAACGATCAACGATCTTAGTTTACGAACAGAGAATGACTCATTTATGACAGGCTGAATGCGACATGATGGGGATAGCCTACAATGTTTATGGAACTTATAAACATCAGGATCTAATGCAATCAGACGTTAACCAACGGCCGATCAACGCTCGTTCATGTCGATTTCTACGGCGCTAATCGCTGTTTTCTTACTTGTTTCTCACATGGCCACGACCGGACTTGGCACCTAGACAGGCCAAAGACCAACCTAAGATGAGGCTTAGTACGCACGTTATATATTTATCGGTAAACCGCGTCTTTCATTTCTAACGCTATATGTATGTTTGAAAACTATATTTTGTTCGCGGTACAGTACGTGAACAGCGACATTTTCACATTGTGGGTATTATGTTTTTGTTTTGCGCTCCAAAACGCGGCGCAATTTCAGAATGTTTATCGTTCAACAAAGAGTAAAAAGCAGATTCTGTCAGTCTGGTGAAACTCGGCATGATGTCCCATTTAGATTTTGTCGCCGGGTCCATTCGATCGGACCGCACGTCAAACACGCACGTAACGTCATGCCGAGCCAACACCATCAGGGCCATTACGAAAACACCCACAGTGCTCCACCCCTGCACAGCAACGGTGGGTGGTGACCCCCTGTAAGCTCTCAGACAGCACTGCGAAACTCGACAGAAAGCCGACTCCACCGGAAGCACGCACCGTCTGCAGAGACAGGCGCGATCGGGTTCATTTGGAGACGCGCACGGACTATCTTCAAACCCGCCCGATGAAATGCGAGCCCATCCCCGCAGACTCACACGAGGCCAGCCGGCGCCGGACACGCGGCCGGTACTGGCTCAGCGCTCACAGCTGCAGCGAGATACGGTGCGGCGCAGCGGTGTTCGGCTGACCTCTCGTTGGGCGGCGCCCGACCGCGCAGTCGAAACCAATCGAAGACCTTTCATACACAACAGCTCTTTCGGAGCAGAATTACCCAGTTGGCAACCCTCTTAACCCGGCATGGACCGGCGGAGGGGGGGGGGGGGGGGGGTAAAATATGCCCCACCGTCCAACATTCGCGATAATTAAAAATTGCCTCGATATCGTTGCAAATTTGTTAGAAGCTGTCACTCACTTCGCCTTGTGCCAAAATAATAAGCATGCTACCATAACAGATCAAGCGTGACGCACGTCACAATGCTGCCGTGTTTGACTGATTTTCCAAAAGCGCATAGTCGAAGACAAACTGTCACGGGAGTCGCACGAAAGAACGCATTTTATATCTGTCAACAGGAAATGTGAACCAATTAGTCCATCATTCATAGATCTTGTCCATGAATTGTCATTGACAAAAAGCACAATCAATATTTTTTGGCCCCAAGACCCAAAATTATGAAAACAAGAAAAGGTGTCCCACATACAACTATGAAGGATGCCTGTACCAGACTTCAAACAATTTTCCGGAACAATGACTAGGTTACTGCTTGAAATGCATCACAGAGCACGTTGCCCGAGCCCAGGTCGGCCCGCGCACACGGCGGCGGGCGGCGGGGCTCAAGTCTGCCGCGGCGGCACGATGACGGGGTGGCTGAGGCCGCTTATCAGTTTCACAAGCAAACCGACGACCACGTGACTGGCGGTGGGGTTGGAGGGTACCAGACTGCGCTGTCGGCAGGACTGCACCGTCGAAAACAACGCGAAAAGTCGATCCAACCGCTTACTCACCGCCGGGGTCATCCAGTTGATCATGACCTGGGACGGCTTATGAACAAGCGCTCACGTGTCTGATGCCCTAAATTGCGGCTAAGCTCTCCCATTTCGCGTTTACATGGCTCGAATATGACGGAAATAAATAGACCGGAATAGACACATAGACCACGGCTTCAGGTCTCATGTGCACGGCACGTGACCTCGGCTCTACGCCTTGGCTCTAGGTGCGGCGCGCAACAGTCGACACCTTCCTTTGTAGCACGTTTGATCACGGCGCGATGATTTCATACCATGAGATACGCTTCTAAATAAACTGCGTTGTGGGAGCGGTAAAATGTCGCAAAGTAACATTTTAATAATTCGACCGTGGCCTGTGAGCCCGTGATATCACACACTTCAACTTAAGTTTTTGTGTGGTCTTAGACCACACACTACGGCGCCATTGACTGCAATTCGAATTTTTGAATTCGGCCCCGCCCTTCTTGAGATCAGTAGGGAAGGGGGGGGGGATCAAATTTGCGCCCATTCACAGTGGTGAGCGGGAGCCCGATGACATTTCTTCCGCAGGGTCGGATACTTACTACTATACTACTCGGATACTACCATACTCGGATACTCGGATACTCGGATACTACCAATCGAAATCCGGGCTTTTCCGGAGCATTTCGAGCAAACCGGTATGCTAATAAAATCGTACGCGTCTGATGTAACAAGAAGTGAGAAGTAAGAAACAGATGGGAGATTCCCTTCAATAGGTTAATCGGGGGCAAAATACTCCCGCCAGGACGACACTTTTCGATCGCATGAATCCCGAGGGTCTTTCACGAGCTGGGCTCGCGGACGATTTCGCCCCGAAATGGTACAGCGCGGGTCGGTGCACGGCGATCCACGCCAACCTCACCTCCCGCCCTCGTCTCGTCTGGCATCTTAAGCCCACCATACGCTCCGGCCCTGCGCGCGCTCTGTTCACCCACCAGCCAGCCGAGGACGTTGGCGCCCAGGTTGAGCGGCACGCCCTCGTAGCCGCCGTAGATCATGAAGGTGGTGTTGTGCCGGATGTACTGGTTGCAGGTGATGTTGTTGCTGAGCCAGTCGGCGGGCGCCGCCGTCACGTTGTCCGTGACGAGGTCGAGCTCCGGGGAGGCGGTGGCGGCGGCCATGGCCGGCGGGCGCGGGCCGAACGACGACCCCTGGCGGCGGCGGACCGCGGCGTGAGAATCGGGCGGGGGGGGGGGGGGGGGGTCTGGGGCGGTGCACACCGGCACATCGACACTCGTGACCAATGTACAGTGGAAACATAACGCCGCGCTCTAGCCGGGGGATCACGAACGTGTAGCCGACCGGAATAAATAAAAGCGGCCTATGAAAAAAACGCCAGCCCTTAAAATTTTGACTCTGGCTTGCATCAAAATGCGCTAGCTTTGCACTCCCAAAACCGTTGCGGCGAGAACGTGGCCCCTTCACTCTCAGGGTTCAGTGTCGACAGTTCTGTTCTAGCGCGGAGCAAACAGCGCCAGCAAAGGAGCAGCGCGACTAGATGCCTTCCGACGGCCAATGGGAACAGATGCGAGATAAGCGAACGCGCTCAGGAATGTGGATATACAGTGCGTGACAAGGGTACACAGGAGGCCCGCAGAATACGCAGCGTTCGGGCAAGGACGTAATGCAGACCATCGCAGCCACGGCTGCACAACTGCCACACGTCATAAGCACCATCATCACAGGACAGCACGTACGCTGTCAAGTCAGCCGCCGCTCTGTGCACGGCCCGGCGCGGACAAGGGTCACCAAATGCAGTGGAACGAGCAGCGGCTCCGCCACAGTTGTAGCGCGTCGCCACCATTGCACTCGGACCGCGCACGACGCGCCGCGACCCGTCCCCGGCGTGCGGACCACGACGGCCGGCGCCGCCCCGTCAGGAGTCATAAACATCTGCCGCCAGCCGTCACCGGTCGGCCGCTCGAGTCCGGCGTCACGGCGTCACGGCGTCACTGGGACGCGGCCCGCCGCCCGCCCGTCACCGCAGGTCACGGCCGGGCCCTGCGGCCGGCACGTCACGCTCGAGGGAGGGGGCGACCCAGACCTTCAGCCAGCGAGCCCGCCTGTCACGCTGCCGGGCTGCGTCGCTGACACTGCGCCGCTGACGTGGCAGCGCCGGCCGTATCTAAAATGCGGTGCGTTTTATGGCGTGGCGGACGGCTGCCTGTGGAATACTGGGATATCGTGCGGGCGTCCAGATAACGACGGACCCGTCGGAAACTGCAGCTAGGTCTTAAACAGCTACTCCCAATCTGACGTCACCTGGTAGTTGTTAGCACGAGAATGTCGGCTCAGTGGCGAATAAAAATTACAACGCGCTGACGTTTGCCGAAATATCACATCGCACTCTTTGTCATCCCCAGATTTCCCAAATCTCACATCGCCAACTTGCGATGCTCTGAACGCGATTGTCATGGATAGGTCATTGGGAACACTGACCACGTGGCCAGTTCACCATATGTTTTGCTCGTTCTTCTGTGATGCCATGCCCTTTTGTATCACCTCCGCATTGATACCTACCATTGGTATGTACATACATACATACAAACATATACAAGTTGCATTGATATATCCATTGCTCCTGAACAACAGCTAGTGGGGCATACAAAGTAAATGACGGGGACGAACTGTTAAAAACATGATACAGACCAAGAGCTCCTTTTCACCGGCTGCCAAAAACATAGACAGTTGAATGGAGGGAAATGCATTACACCAAGGGAACAGGACAAAAAATACATCATCGACCGCGCCCACCTCTGCCGTGGCCTCTCCCAAATCGAGTGGTTGTGAGTGAAATCTACAACATGCGGTCTGACCAGCAGCGGCCCAGCTTAACACACCCAGGTGGTAACAGCTCGAGGTCTGCCGCCTGACCAACACGAAAAACAATGTGACACAATGGGGATTAGCCACCGGCCAACGACAATAGTTTCACCACATGCGGTGGCGCATATTGCTGGTGCCACCTGGTATGTTGGTGTCACCCGTTCCTAATTTCATATTCGATGAAGTAAAAAAAAAAAAAATATCAGGGAGCTACACAAATGTCAGTTACAGCCTCTAGCTGCACCAGTTTTTACAGCTAAAGGTTAGGGTCAGGACAGGACCTGCAATTGGACTCTACCTGGTGTGGTCAAACTGCGTTTTTGTCACCTTATGTAGCACATCTGGAGTAGATGATGCAGCCAGGTGATCTGGTTTGATTCAGATTATGACACGACTTATTTCCAAAGTGGCAATGAAAGTTCACCTGAGTTCACACCTTGACCTACCATGACCTTAAACAACTTAACTTCAGCCTTCAGATATGATGATGCACATGCAGAATTTCAATTGAGATTGCTGGGTGAATACAACTGCCAGGACTGATGGGCTGGAGTATTTCAAATTGAGATAGTGCAACCTAATTATGATACACCACATGGAGAAAACAAAAGGGGGAACAGGAAACTGAACCAAATGACAATGAAAAACAATTATAAGATTCAATAATTTTTCCATGAAGTCATGTTTTACAAAGTTACACACAAATTACAAAGTGGCAGGCAGACCTCCTTCCAAACTTGGTCACCTCTACTGTATTTTTACTGTCTTTTGTATTTAGACAAGAATAAAGCTTCATTTCATGCTCTTATTATGCTAGCCATGACTTATGAAGAGCCTTTATGAACCAATTTGGTGATTTGGAAGAACATGACATGATATAAGTTTTAGAGATAGCAATAGATAGCTCCTTGCTCTATTCTTGTAATAAGGTCTATTATGCACATGGGCATGCTTGATAACAGACAACAGTCTGCTGTTGTCAAACAAAGACATTTTCCTAGCAAAGGCTATGGCAACATGTCAACCAGCTAAAGTAAGCCTCAGTCATTTAAGATAGTACCTGGATTTTCAAGAGTTAAAATGTAAGGAAATGTATGTAAAAATGTAGCATGAGGATATAGAATCCATACCAATGCATAAGTGAATGGACACTGAAAGCAACACCACAACTTGGGAGCTAAGCTGCAGGTGGTTCAGGACTATTTCAATGGTGTGTGACAAACCATTTTGTCCTGACAAAGTGGTCAGTTATGAACAAGATCATATGTAGGTTCAGCTATGACTAATGCATTGTGATAAAATGGATTGATTTTTCTTTAAAGCATTGAAAGCACACCATTCATTGGTGTCCTTAGCTTCCAGCAAAGAAATAACACATCACAGAACATGTCATGCCTGAACTGGGCTTTGTTTCTTTCATTTGTTTGTCTACCTGGTCTGTATTGGGCTGGCTAACTGTATCCCTCACTAAGACAGTGTTTCAATAATCAGGTACTTGGTGACAGGAAATCAACATCTTTCATTCTACCTTACACCTGCTGCTGCAATGACATTGCTATCTGTTGCAATGTTGTCTGTATCTTTACTGCTATCTGTCTGTATTTGTTATTGCAAATGCTATCTTGCACTCTGGACCTGATTTTTGGGACTGTTAAATGTTCTGATGTCTCCAGACATATTGGCAGTGACACTACCGAGATGGGGTCATAGTAGGTAGCCTGTTATTACCATACTTATTTACCTATATCACCACTTTCATTTACCTGTGAGGAGTTCATTTATTCTGCAGCTTTCAATATTTCAGACAACACATAAATCCTTGGATACAAATGATTTCAAAATATAATATTTACATTCATGAATAAACATGTTAAGAACATTTCAAAACAATATCATATGAACTGGTTCATACCAGCTATTTCAACCAAGGCCATCACGTCTCATAACCATCTATTGGCTTCAACCCACAAACCCTGGCTGTCAGTTAAGTTGGTAAGATACATTTGCCCCTAAAGCGGACATATACAGATGGGTGGATGAGCTTATTACAGAGTTGAAGAAATATCAACTTGTGATCTGTTTTGCCTATGCAATGCCACAGGGATAATGTTGTACCCTTCCAGAGGTAGAGAGCTGCTGCTCTCTCCAAATTTCATAAACTATAAACCTGTCTCAGAGCTCGCTCTCAAGTCTAAGGATTCCTGTCCTGCAAGTGGGAAGTTGGAAAAATCAATCTATCAGCAAGTCATACCAACATTGACAGGTAACATTTGGGACAAAGCAATATGGCCCAGCAGACCAATATATGCATGACATATTTAAGTTTTACTGACACCTGTACTGGTTGGGGTTGAAAGCTGGGTCGGTACACACCTGGGTGTCTGGTACCCGTCGATGCATCATGCATGTTATCTTAAATTGCTTGCCTGCTTTTTTGAGGATTCACTTCCTTTCAACATCTCACTGCTACCTGATCACCAATTCCATGGTTCAGGAGAAGGATGCTGCTCTCTTAAATAATCCAGCAGCACCAACTGTGGGTGCTAGAGCAGGGCCATTGTTTGACTCAACTAAAACAGTGAAGGTAGTGAGTGCCAGGCCAAAATGGGACCAACCCATTCCAGAACAGCCATGCTATGGCAGCATAGGTACTGCATGTAGGTGTAATCATGCAGTGTGCACATGCCTCCACAGTCTGTCTTGTAAAAAGCCTGATGACACAGCAATCTGATCACTGAATAGGCCATCTTGGGTTTGAGGCTGCGTTAGGGCTACCTGCAACAAGCTTTGCTTAGCAAATAAAACAACCTGCTTCAGTAAGAACTGATTATCTGCAAAGAACCAATCCACAGTGTGTTTTGGTTGCATGATGTCAACACCCTGTGCCTGGAGCATGAGCATGGCAAACAAACCAGGCCAAACTTAAGTGAATTTCGAACAATTGTTGTTTAACATAGTAAAATGTTTTTTGCCTGTGGTCACCTTAGTATCACCAAAACACCTTAAAATATTGGCTATCTATGGGCTAAAACTGGTGGCGTCCATATGCTGAACTAAGGCTCTCAGACTGACTGTGGAATTGTTGCGGGAACGCCCCTGCTATGCCGGCCATGTTCGGCGCAATGTAAGTAATTTGCAGTCTCGAGTACATGCAGATCAAGGTTCACACACTGGCGGATGCTATAGGCTGTTGCACACTTCATTAGCTTGTGACGGCTGGGTTTACAGACACATCAACAACCGTTTTCAGCGCCGTCTGTTCCACACGGCTCGGGAAAGATTAGGTAACCCTGCCACCTACAAGACACTGCCAGGTTAAATACTTACTTAAGTAGAAGGTTGGTGTAACAGTCGTGGGACTGGGCACCTTGATACTCTCCCAGCAGGCAACAAGCCGTTCAGGAAGGGGTAATTTAATCCGACCCCCGAAGTCCACAACCTCGCCACACGTCACCCCACCACCCACTCGCCAAGCGCAATACTGTTGACATTCGCAGAGAATATCTTGAAACATATTTTGCTAGCAAATCTAATAAATGCTCAATATTAGTATGAGCTGCTAGAAAAACAGTTTTTTAACAAATCCTAAATTTAATCTTTAACTAACCCAATCAAACTTCGACTTTTAGACAAATTTTCGCAGCGTACGTCTGTTAAGAACACGCTTATTTTACTCCCTTAAATTTCTACTGATGTGGCGCTAGTGTTACATTGCCGTTTGTGGACGATGCGAAGGACGCGCAGAAGTTGTCGAGGGTTGAAATCTTGTGAATGTGGTAAAGTCGTGGCACCTAAGGCATTTTACAACGTCAAGTTTCGTTCGAAACGAACTGCCAGCCGGCGATTCACAAATATTTGCCATATCGTGCGAGTGCTTGCCGTAATAATTGTCTCGTGTGGGCACCCAGTCAAGGGTCACAAACAGCGGCGGCAAAAGCGGGAAAATCAAACGTCACCCTCGCGGCATTCGGTAGGTGCATGACAGCTTAACCGTTCCAGGTCTTAAAATTTGATAAAGATGACACGTCTTTTACATTAGCACTGATATTACTGTGTCTTTTGGTCTCCTGCACAGGTCAAGCTGGATATAGCATAACAATGATGACAAACAATGGTCATGTGCAACTCATTCAAAGTTTCATGTCAGGCGCTTGACACTGTAAGTGCCTGATTGGTGAGGGAGATACAGTACCAAGATACCCCAATGCAATTACTAAGAGTGGGCTATTATGTGATTTGCTGTAAATTGTGGGATTAATGAAATACATGATGTGGCCCTCATGAATATCGGAATCTCACCATGGGTGTGTGCTTCAGTGTTATGTGAATAAATATCATGCTCCTTACCATGGTATATGTGTGCATAATGCAGTCATCCCTCATGCTGTGTTAGTGAAGCAGGTCAGGGTGAGTCACAAATTTGAGCTTTCCATTGTGCAGAATAAGGTGAACATTATAGTTCAGTAATTTCTTTTTGGGTAAACCATACAAATGAAGCACATTGTGAGTATGCATGTAATGCCACTCTTGCATTTGTTTTCTGCTGACTGCACCATAAGGCTTTGGCATTAAGTATGTGAAAATGATGTTTTGAGTATCTGATGCTAATCTGCCAAGTAACTTACAAATACAAGACTCCAGGGATGTGGCAGATTTCAGAGCACATGACTGGCAAAAAGCAAGATGGCATAAGAATTATAGGCTATGGGGTTGCCATGACTTTCATGCAATGTGCCTGTTTCTCTGTCCAGGGATGTGAAAATGTTTCTTAGGCATGAAAACAACATGCCTGACCAAGGCCCAGCATTAGATGAAAATGTGGTTTCTGGTTTGTCTTATCTATAGGAATTGCAACATCTCATCAAGGTGGTTATCAAAATGAACTAATTCAGAATTAGATCATTGATGTGTGTTTGACCTGTACCTGAACATAATTTTGGAGTTTAGTCTCTGGTAGGTAGGATGCATCACTTCTTGCTCTTGGAAAAAGGTGGTGCATGGTTCCACAAAGTCCCCTGTTCCTATGCCTATGCTGTGGGGCACAATGTATAATGGAAGACTGCAATATCAGAGCAAATAATTGATATCATTAATTGACAGGAAGAAGACCACAATTTCACTGTTAAAGTGGATACAGCACATCTTTCAGTCCTCCAGCTTCACCGACGTCCTTGTGGCGGCAGGGCCTGGCCGGGACCTGACATTGTTCCGCACGGGTGTGACGTCAGCTGGCGGCCATGGAGCGCCAGCAGTACAACGCGGTGGTGCGCTGCATCTCGCGGCTCAGCTTCCCGCTGGACACCCGCGAGCTGACGTTCCCCGGCGTGCAGCGCGACACGCTGGGCAGCATCGCCTGCCACGAGTACGTGCGCCACACCAAGCGCACCATCTATCAGCACAACAAGCCACACATCATCGCGAAGTATTACAAACAGTACGTGCTGGGGGAGGGGGCAAAGCGCGTAGCTGGATGTGGCGTGCGGTGCGCGCAATGGGGATGTTCTTGGTTAGCCCTTGCCATAAATGTTGTTTGTGTTGTGTTTTCTGTATAACCTTTGTGCTTGTACTGTGATGTTTGTGCGTTGGGTTTGAGATATTTACATCAAAGTAGAGGTGTGTCACTCCGTAAGGCTGAACCTTTGAGCTTAATTTGCATGTGTTGATCTGATATTCGTGAACACTTTATCACATGAATCAGCATTAACCCAAATGTCAGGCTTTTGTGTCCTGTATGCCACAGAGCTAATACCCCTCTTTAATCGCGGCGCGGCTGAGCCCACCAGTCAACACCACTACAATACTGGTTATAGCAATACCCGGTCGCTAACACGCCGACTGGGCGAATTCAACCAGGTCCTGCAGAAACACCACACGGACATCCTGTGTGTATCTGAGGCATGGCTCAAGCATGAAGTACTATGGAGGAGCGCGACTGCACCCGCAAGGCCTGGAAGCGCTGCTATACCGCAGAGGCGCGCCACGTGTACTAGCGGTGCCGTAACAGAGTGGACGAAGTGATCACTTTTGCGCGACACCCTTACCTGTGCAGCGATTTGCTGACGGGGCGGCGAGACTTCTGGAACTGCCTCGGGCAGTTTGGACTGCAGCCAGCGGGAGGGCGCGACACGCCCGATTACACACCAAACCCTCTGTCGCAAAAACTGGCAACTTCCACATTACCATCTCTGGCACAGAATTCATCTATCATGTTCAGTGAAGATACTGGGTGTACTCCTCTGCCACCACCTCACCTAGGAAACCCACATCTCCTCTCTCGTTCGACGCTGTAATGCAATCCTCGTATCCCTGTTCAAAATTCGACACCAGTTCACGCCGGAGGTTCTGAAGCTCCTTGTCCAAATTCACGTATTCCCCACATCCTCCACTGCCTATCCATCTGGGGTGGAGCGACCGAGCATCACCTAAACAGGATGAAAAGAGCATGTACTTCGCAGCCAGACCAGTGAATGGTGTCCACTGCAGCGATCACATTTCACCCGTTCTGGAAGCGCTCGGCTGGCGTAGTGTCGCGGATTTTGTGCACCACCGGGACTGTCTGAATGTGCACAGGGCACCGCACAGCCCCAATCCCCCAGTGCATTGCGTGCTCTTCGTGACGTGCGCCGAGTCTTCCCAACGTCAAACCCGCGCTTTTTTGGGCGGCGTCGGCTTGCTGCATCTCCTGCGCGTCCGACTGACCGCCACCCAGCGTCATTGTCCGTGCCGCGCCGCCGCCACGGACGGCGGCCGTCCGTGTGCCCTCGCGGCGGGTACTCTTGACTGTTTTGAATCGCTGACTCATTGGCGGAAGCTGGTTTCACCTGTGCGCGTATATGCATGCCTGTGCACCGCGTGCGTGTTTTTTGTTGTTGTTGTCTTGTATGACTAGACACGGCACAACCACCACGTGGACGTGCCTTCAATGGAGTAACTAACGGTAACAACTGGGAAACTATGGAAGTCGTGCATAACGGAAGTTTTTCCGCAGCATTCATCTGGCCACATTGAGGTACTAATGACATTCCAGTTATTCGCCATAGTCCACTCTTTCACTGCTACTCTCTCTCTCTCTCTCTCTCTCAAACAAATCATAACAGGGATACCATTCACACCAGACCAGGCCCACCCAAATATCATAAGAGGTTAATGCTTCAAGTTTCTGTGATCTCCACTCAGATACGCTCGAAGCAGCTGCAATGATAGTACACCTGTAGTGTCCGGGCCAGCTGTGGCAGCAAAACAAATCTATGTTTCTCCATGTGCAATTCTTATCTATGTGATATATTGTTTGGTGAAAAGGTATGATATCTTTCGCACAGATGGCACTATGTCCCTAAAACACCTGCAACGCTGTGTTGTTGTCACTTCGAAATCTCCTTTTGAAGGCGTTTGTAGTCGGAGGCATCCGAACAGCCAGCGTGCACCCGCTCCAGATGCCAGAGCTCCACCTGTGACGCCGCCCCTCCGCTGCCGCAGGTTCCTGGACGCGCTGGACGCCGGCGAGTCGGCGGGCGTGCTGCTGCGCATGGCCACGCGCCTGCAGGTGGCGCCCGCCCTGCTCGCCAAGTTCATCCTCAACTGCTACGCCAACGACACGGACGCGGCGTACCGGCGCATGTCGGACCGCGGCAAGCGGCAGCGACTGGCGCAGCTGGTGCGCGAGCCGGGCCTGCTGGCCGAGCCGCGCGTGGCCGCCGAGCTGCGGCTGTGTGTGCTGCGCGACAACGGCTACGGCCCGCTGGCCGAGCTCGTCAAGCAGTGAGTGCCGCCGGCGGGCTGTGACGCCACCGCCCGCCTGGAGCGATGTTGCGATGTGGCTGTGGCCGCTGCGGGGAAAGGGGGTCCTCTCAGATGTCGACGCGCGTGGACCCGTGACGTGGCGAATAGTATGCAGGGTGTCAGAAGATTAGAGGGGGCCTGCGGAGCCAGATTTTGTCCAGCGGGTGGTTTGCTGGGATGAAATCTTCAGAGCGCGGTCCGGGAAGACGCGTGCCTTTAGACGCGGATGTTCCGGAGGCCGTCCTAACTGCGCTTTGTGGGGAAGAAATTGAGCGTATTTCGCAGGATGCATTGTCGAGAACAGTGTCCTTGATTCACTTAGCACGTGTAAAGGCAAACAGGATGTGTCGAGGCTAGTCTTCCGATGTGGAGGTCTTGAAATATGAAATGTATTAGTGGTGCCCTTTTTCTCATGGACTAGTCAATTTCGTCCCATTCGTTACCACTCAGTTGACGTATGGCTATGTCCCGTCACTTTGTGTCTTCTACTTTTATGGTACTGGAGTGATAGCAAAACAGCTTCTCACCTGTAATCCGGTTATCTTATTTCCAAGTTATGTATAGCTGGTCATTAGGGGACACAAACCCGTGCACTACGCGCGCCAGCGCAGATCGCCCGGCCGCCAACGCCTCACGACGCTTCGCGCTTCCAGCACGGTCGGTCTGGAGTACGAGATGCGACTGAAGAAGAAGCTCATCTCTCTGAAGATCCCGTTTCTTGACGAAGACGACCTTCGGCGCCGGGGCCACGACAAGACCCCCGACGTGCTGCTGGACGTGCCGATCGGTAGGTCTGGCCCGGAGACTGGGCCCGGGCTCTTCTCACTGAGGGAAGAGTGGCCCCCGGAGCTGTTCAGACCAAGTGTAAGCACACGAGCCGCAGCGCAGGCGAACAACTGGTGAAATACAAAGCAAACAGAACAAAACAAAACAAACCAAAACAAAAACGGGACGGGACGGGACGGGACGGGACGGACGGGGATGTGTCTGGATCAGGACGGACCACATGCTGATATTGTCGTGTTTTGCTTTGCCATATCCTGTTTTGTACTGTTGTCTTGTATTGCCCTATCATGTTTGGTCTGCGTTGTTCTGTTCCACCCCTGCCCTGCCCTGCTTTGCCCTGTCCTGCCCTGCCCTGCCCTGCTGCTCGCCGATACACGCCACGCCGCGCCGCGCCGCGCCGCGCCACGCCACGCCACGCCACGCCACGCCACGCCACGCCACGCCACGCCACGCCACGCCACGCCACGCCACGCCATGTCTGGTCTTGTCTGGTCAGGTTTGGTCTGTTCTGCTCAGGTCAGACCAGGTTGGCCGGTCCAGTCCTCAGATTGGAGAGGACAGGACAGTCCGTATTGTTTGGACTGATCTCTGCCTCTTTCGTTTTGCGATGCTCTGCCATGTCATTACTATGCTGGCGGTGTTTGTCTCCGTCCAGTCCTAGATGTCCCTATTCTGCTCGTGCGCCCACTTTATCTGTCAATGCTGGCTGTAACCCACTTAGTCCTGGTCCGGTTTGTTCTGACCTGACCTGTTCTGTCCCGTTTTCCCTGCCCTGCCCTGACTGCTCTCTGCGTACGATGCGGTGCGCGCCTGTCCTGTTCCGCTTCTGCTTTGTACAATGGGAAACTCGCTAACCGTACCGCCAAAAGTCGGAGAAGTTTCCAACTTAGACATGTAACGCCGTGGCATTATGTGCTCCCACACTTGAGGTGACTTCTGTGCTGCGACCGCCTCACATTGATGCTAAAAACGAAATGTTGGAGACCTCTGCTAGAGTAAAGGACAAACGCGGGCCAAAAGGAGAGACGTGATATGATTCCTGATGAAATGCAACAACGCAACATGCGCTGTAGCATTTTGCATTCGTACTGTGCTAAAACACTTCTTTCCAGTGGTGTCGATCTCATTAGACGTGCCACCCCGTTCAGTGCAGTAAATTACTCCTGCGACTTATCAGCTCTCCCTGAGGCATGAACAGGATTTTTCAGAAACTTCGGTTTTTCCAGAATGAGTCTGGGTTAAGGCTACGTAGGTTATTAGACGTTCCGTTGAGAAGGTCATTTCTTCCTCTGCCAGCAGACCTCTTTTGCGCGCATGGTAACATGTGACGCCGTAAACTGAAGTGGCACGATCTTTGATTAAGACCCACCTATTAGACGCCCACATGGCTGTACCCGACGAACATAGTGCTGTTCTTATCTTTATGCCTCCAAGAAATAATGAGCGATGTCTTAGTCGTAAAATCCCCAGAACGATTAAGGACTAATATAACCGAGAAAAATAATAAAACATCATGCCAAAGATACGGACTCCGAGGAGCACGTCTTTCAAATTGCACGGTAAGCCACGAGGAAAGAGAACAGCATTTGACCATCGTTATCACGACCATCTATCCGTTTCAGCGGTGTCGGGATGCATAGTGAACTGGATCGAAAGCAAGGCCTCGTTCGGTGACGACGAGACCCACGAGGCCTACATGCGGGACCAGTACGAGAAGTACTGGAGCAGGTGACTAGACTGTTATGCAATGTCCATGATGCTGTATTGTGGTCACGACTGTTTGCATGATCTTGTGCTCATGACCTTGCCGGAGGTACATTCGAACGCTGCGCAGACTACATTGCTGTTATGATGTAGCTTTGATTCAGGTGCGTGTGAACCTGCCTGGTAGGTGATCGGCTTTTAGTTAGAACATATACTCGTTCGAACTGCCAGCGATCAGTCCTCTTTCCAGACCCAGTTGGCATCCCGTCGTCACGTGCGACAGCGTGATCAGCGCGTCACGTGCGACGGCCTACATGCCCAGCCTATATCAAAGTCGTGCCGCCACTCGTGCCCTCAGTTTACCACGGGCTGGACCGTAACATTCGCTAGCGCCACAGTCTTCTATGCCGATGGTATCGGAGGGAGAGCGAAACGCCGGCAGCATGAAGGCCGTAGCCCACAGCCTCGTGATTGTAAGCAGAGCAGGCCACTCCTCAGCTGAGGCGTCCTCTGTCCGGCAGGTTCGGACCGGGCATGGTGATCTACTGGTTCGGGTTCATCGGCGACCTGCTGCCGGCCGCGTCGGCGCGCCACGTGCTGCTGCAGCACCGCTTCCCCGAGGAGCAGGTGCAGTTCATGGCGCCTGAGCTGTCCGTGGCGCCACTGGACGCCGCCGACGGAGACCTGCCGCTTGGACCGCTCTTCGACGAGGAGAGCGACAGTGAAGAGGAGCGGCCGCTGCCCGAGGAGAACAGCGAGGAGGAGGTCTCGGTGTGACGCGTGTGTTGGTGCGGGGAGAGAAGGCCTAGTGACCCAGCGCGGCCAGGAGAGCCGCTACAACAGTGCTGTCTGGTGATGCGGAGCGGCTGGCGGTGTCTACCGCGTGGACGGCGGCGCGTGCGTTGACGGTGCGACTGTGCGGCGAGATCTGAGTTGCGGGCGGCAACGTGAGGTGTCAAAGGGAGATGCGCGACCATCCTTTGCCACGGGGTGTGAGGGATGCTGGCCTATGTTCGGTCTGCAGAGTGAGAGCCACAACGGAGGTGGCAACTGTGGATGTTCCCGGAGCATTCTGTGAAGGTAACAGGAAGCTGTGAGCGTAACCAAGTGTCGTGTAATTGCGAACACATCTGTATGTTCGTGTCCTTGAAGCTTGTCTCGGGAAATTAGACAGAGTTCACGACTTATTTGTAGCTCTTTTTGTCATGGATTTTCGTAGTGGATGCTCATCGCCGAACCGGGCGGTCAAAAGGGCGCGGATGGGGTGGGTCAAGTCATTTATGGCGCTCCCATATTCGTGGGACGTCAACCGTGGTTGTGAAGCAAGCGACAACTGAGTGTTGGCTGTGCTTCATGCCAGCTGAACCGACATGGCCTGATACACAGTCATGTAGGACCCTGGCTAAACACAGCCTCAACGGATCAACTTATAACTCTGGTGCATCAGCTGACAATGCTCGTGGAAAAATAATGAGTATGACATGTCAGCGAGCATCGTGCTTGCAGTCGTTGACGTCTCCGTGAATGGCTGTGGGGGACGGTAACGGAGTCGGCCCATTGTCAACGCTACTTGACCCGCCGTGTGAGATAGCTGTACTTTTGTTGAGTTGAAAATAGATAGCCCACGCTATTTAAGTTAGCTAAAGCAGTCCAAAGACTGACCAGAGCCTGAGGGCTTCGACACATTTGTGAGTATTTGTACTTTTTGTAAAACTTGAGTGTGAAAGACACGATGACCCACTAGGAGGCAGAATAGATGGTCATGCACTGAGACATTGATTGCTGTTTGTGCGGTGACTGTACATACGTGTACAGAGGACTGAACAATGACATGAATAAAGATCATCTAACAGAGTGGTACCGCATCCTTCACTAAGATGCATCAGTATGCCGCACGAACGGGTACCATCTGTGGGACGTAGTGTCACTAATGACTCACAGTCAGGTGCGTTTGTTCCGCCCGTGCCACTGATGGTAACTCATGCCACCATCACGATGCGTCGGGATACGGCGGAAAAGCGCGCTACAATTTTCGTATTGCTGACCGTGAGGACTTTGCCACGGCACTGCATGCAGCGAACGAACATCGAAGCTGGAGACGTCTGCAGTGCAACAGCGTGACGACACTACAGCATGCTCAACATCCGCTCGGCTCGGTCCCGCTGTTGTAGTGGTGTTACATTCGAACTGTCAGGGAGTTCCGCCGCGGACGGTCTACTGAACACATTCGTTTGTGTAAAGTTCCGTCGTCTCTGGGGACATCGGAAGCGCACCGCACCTTCCACCTAGAAGAAGTCACCAAATCAATCTGCGCCAGCCAGCTTTTTGTGGACGCCCTTGTTGCTTTGCAATGCTGCAGTCACCCAACCAAAAATGATATTTGTCCTCGAAGGTTTATAATAAATATGCTCCACGTTTTGTTTCATAACCTGTTTTATTTCAGCCTGTTCGCGCCTTCATTTTCGTCGGTTTCTTAAGTCACGTAACAAACGGTCCCGTAGAAACCAAGACAAACATAACGTCCCAAAATTCTCCAGGATGTAACGTGAGAATCATAACGATCGCGGATTGTGAACTTTTTTAAGCCATACGTGACACAGGATGGAGCCAACAGCTCGTCATTGCCTGTCCCTCATGTCTGTTCAGCTTACAATGCGTAAGGACGGTGTATGCAACGGAAAGCAAAACTCACAATCTTATCTACCCAATGTCCATGTATTGTTATTCAATTCCTGCTATTATTAACAATATTTACCGCCGTCAAATACTGACTCCGTGTCATTGTCTCAGACCAATGAAGCGTGCATAAAGCATGCAGGTTCGCGGAGAGCTCAGTCACACATTCCTACGCCTAGCCTGCAGCCGTTGTTTTAATAAATGCCATGAATCTGAAACGTCTGCCCAGCGACGGGCTTTACCCCTGAAACCAGTTACAGCACTTGGGATCAACGTCTTTGCGCTTCATATGTGCGCAACGCGTATGTTAAAAACTAATGCTGCCTTTGCCACAGAGTGCTGAACATGGCGTTTTCCTCGGCACATTTGCGTCTTGCTTGTTTTTTTGTTTCACAGATGTTCTCATTGCCGTTGAAAAATCGATCTGTCTGACTAGACCGGGATTCTCCGCCTGTCGTTCTCCTTATGTCCCCATTTTCTCCGCCTCACTCCCTCCGCATCCCGCTCAGTCTTCCAGCCCTCGCCACTGGCCCCATTGGCAAGCGTTCCAGTTCCGCATCCGTCATTTCATGCAGTGTGCGTTCAGATGTTTCTACTAATGCGGAAAGACGTCGTTCTCCAGCCAGCTTCTACCTTGAATAAATCATCTGCGAAAAAGCCCGGTCTCTCCGGCCTGTATATATCTCCGTCCGTTCGCCTTGCCACCTCTATGTCATCCTTTCGCTCTTCTCCTGTCTCTCCTCTGGTTCTTTTTATTTTTCTGCTTCCCAAAACCGCGCCTCGCTATCCTCTCCTCTCGGGGGCTGTCTGTGTAATGTTGTTTGCACTGTTGTTGACTTGCACTGATGCCTTGAACAATATTTCCAGCCGCGGACTGTATGAGGTACATGTTTGCGCGGCTATCCACAAGTCTTGTTATTAAATTACGATTAATTGGTTGTGCATGTCGCTGCCCTGGTAGTGTACACTGGTCAAAACCAAAAAAGTTTTCCTGATCGTCAGAGTCCGGAATTTCGTGAGAAATGTCGTGATAAAAACTGAGCTTGAGCCTAACGGGGAGGGTTAAAAGTCCCTTGAGCATCTCCCCCCCGGCGAATGCTCGGTCCGTGACTATCAACACACTGCCATGCTTGTTCCGTGCCCACCTGCTCAGCCGTCCGTGCTCGGTCCGTTCTCGTTCACATTCCACGAATGTGCCCACGATGAAGGTCTGTTACATCAGAGGAGCGAGACGTCATTAAAGGGAGCGTCCACTTTCATAGGGGTTTTGAACTGAAATAGCCGCCTTGAAGACCTTTCGGTGCTGTTCACAATCCTGCGCTTTATTATTCCGAAGTCCCCTCTAGCTTTTGAGCTACATGCCCGCGAAAATCGGGGGAAAGGTATATCGGGAGGAGTATTTTGAAGTCATCTTGGACATTCTGACGCCCATATATATATATATATATATATATTATATATATATATACATGTATATATATATGTATATATGTACACACACATATATATAATAACTTATATATAGATATATATATATATATATATATACACACTATATACATTAACGACCAGAACTGAATCGCACATCTTGGATTTGCAAGCTGTGTGAGACATGCATCAATGACTCAACGCAAGCAGTGAGTCCGAGCTGAGTCGATTCAAAAGGTTTAAGAGGGCTATGAGTCGTGAGCTGAATCGGATCGCATAAGCTGTGGGACCGTTCTCAGACGAATAAAACATGGAGTCAAACACAATTCTGGCCATAGACATCATTATAATCCTGCCATTCCTAAGCCAGGCGGCGATCAAGGCCAGGAAAAATATAATTGTCGAAGCGCTCATATCTGGGCGTACGTTGGGTCGATTTCCAGACATACACGCAAGCCAGTTGGCTCTCAGTCAATATTGTGCAAGGTACGATGACATAATCAAGCCGTGACGCCTGGAGAAACGTCTTTACTAAACAGATAATTATGCTGTTTAGAGCAGTCTGTCCACTTAAAAGTGCACCAAGTAGTTAGAAAGTGAGCTTATTTCATCATATCTGATGCTTGTTTCAATATCTTCAAGCGTGAAACATTTCCAACCACAAATGACAAGAAAATGACGGGAAGGCAACAACAGGTAATTGCACAGGTGTCTTTAAATCATTCGTAAGGCCGATCAGGCCAAGCCGCTACAAATGAGATCATTTTACGAGAAGACGCCGACGCGTCGACAACTGCATCGTCGCGACAGTGCCGCTGCTTTTGAAGGCAGTACTGGCGATAACAGCGTGACGGTGATCACACAAATTATCAGTGGCAGGGAAATGCACCAGTCGTTCTAAAAGTCATCACGCAGGAGAGGGTAGAGTGTCTTTGTTTCTGCGATATGTTTGGAGTTTGGGGAGTTCCACGGACGGGCGTCGCTGAAATGCGGTTGTCGTGCATCCGGGGTTGAAATCGTATGTTAGGGCTTAGACAATGGCCTTTCCGGGGTAATAATGTGATTTTCGTTGCTCTCAGAACGATGGCAGTACAGCAAGCCTTGATTCTTTTGCATGGTTGTTCCAAAATGAGGATGCAAAGCAATTCCACCCATAAAGGAAGCATTTAAGACTGTAATTTAGGGTGTGTGTGTGTGTGTGTGTGTGTGTGTGTGTGTGTGTGTGTGGTGTGTGTGTGTGTGTGTGTGTGTGTGTGTGTGTGTGTGTGTGTGTGTGTGTGTGTGTGTGTGTGTGCGTGTACGTGTACGTGTGCGCGTGTGCGTGCATGCGTGTGTGCGTGCGTGCGTGTGAGAGTGCGTGTGTGTGCATGCGTGTGTGTGTGTGAACATCATCCTTCTCGCCATTATATTCTACGCAGTCGACCTGCTGGTTCTGCACACCTCCGCCAACAATTTGTTCACACGCTTATTATCGACACGAAGGAAGCCGATGCTGCGGTCACCCGTTATTGATCGGCCCTCGGTACAGACTGTACTCGAGAGTATCAGCTGACCGGCCACGGACCGCACGTCCTACACCGACCAATGGTAGGGGCGCCACGCCACGAGGGGCGGTCCTTATACCGCACCACCCTAATAAGATCAATCGTATAGGAATACGTTTTCCTCTTGTCATGCCATCGCATTTCCATGGTTTGCCGTTGAGCCTTCCGAAGTACAACATCACAGCCACCACTGAGTTCTCCGCCATCGCTCACTGTCGATAAGCATCCTTCCTAAGGCTTCCGATGGCCGACAGGTCTGCGGCGTGATCGACACTGGGCGACGAGGCACTGTGGTGTCACGGATGACACTACATTCGGTCTCGGGATTAGGCTCTGGGAACGGAATGGTACAATGGCTTGGACCCAGTTACTCTGGTTATTATCTTCACTGTTTTTCGGAACTGATAAGCTTAGCTTAGGCCGCTAAACCTGCCACGATTCCCGGCCACGCCATTGCCTCTGGACGCTAATATGGCCAATGCCGTCACCAGCGCTTCTTAAAAGAGGGTATTTCGATGCGCGTCACGATCCCTAAACCATACACAAATGGCATGGCAGCAGATAATGTAATTCCAGGAAGGTGACCATCTTGGCATGATAATCAAATGTCGATGGATGATCACACCTATGCTGGGCCCCGAAACCGTAAGTGCGCAAGCCATGTGCCCTAAATTCTTAAATTTTGAAGCCAGAAATTTCAACGACCTGCTGTCTAATTTTTGGAAAACCTGCAAAAAGCGAGGAGTCTCCTGTCTCCTGTCTCCCTCATTCTGGATTCGGGCTCAGTCACGTTTTGTACACGCCTTTTAGAAACAAAAACATGGTGCTGTCGACTGGCCAGTGGCAATATGTGCATAAATACCCTAATCTTGCGTTGTTTCATCCCGCACATGCTGCCCGGGTGACTAGGCTAGAGCTGCCATGCTGACTAGGCGCCTCACGACGTTCGGAAATCCTTTCAGTGCAGAACACACGCATCCCGCTCCCTGTTGGTGACTCGGCGCAATTCCTTGGGGTTGTCGGTCGTCACACCTGACGGCAGCACACACACCTCGACTCAACATCTTTCAGAGCTTTCAGGGGTTTTCCTGAAACGGGTGCCTGATAACAGGCTGCGCCACCACCGTCTTTCGATCGCTACAGAAACAATGGTCCGGACAGGTGGCCTGTCGGCTGACATTGCACCCCAAGACCCAGCAGCTGCCCCTATTCACGCGCGCACCGTGTCACGGCGCCACCATCTGCCGGCGCCGGTGCCAGGCACCTAGGTGGCAGCCTATATAATCCCATGTCGGCCGCCTCCACCCCACAACGGCCTCGAGAGGCGGAGGTTCGGGCTCAGCATGCGTCCCGTTCTGCTGTCGCTGGTGGCTCTGGCGGCGCTGCTGGCGCCCGGCCAGGCCAGCTGTCCGCACGAGGGACGCCGCGCTGCGCCGCGCCAGCGACGCGTCCGGCTGGCCGGGCGGCGTGCTGCCGGCCGACGGTTGCCTCGGTGGTCGTTAGTGACGCCGTGCTGCTGGACGCGGCGACGGCCGAGCTGGCCGACCTGACGGTGGCCGCCGGCGGCCGGCTGGTGTTCGACCCGAGCGTGACGCTCTCCAAGCTCGCCGCCGGCACCGTGGTGGTGCACGGCGAGCTCTGGGTCGGCTCCGAGGACTGTCCGTTCGCGGGGCAGGCGGAGCTGGAGCTGCTCGGCAGGAAGGGTGACTCGGACGGCGTGGAGGCCGGCGGCTCGCGCCACGTCAAGGCACTGGTGGTGGCGGATGGTGGCCGGCTGGAGGTGCACGGCGCGCCGCGACGCGCCTGGAGCCGCCTCACCGCCACCCTGCCCAAGACCACGCGAGAGGCTGTGATCGGCAGCCCGATATTCGACCAACAACAGTCAGAGTGGCACAACAGTCGCCACCGCGGCTTCCTGGCGTACGAGTTCGACGAGGGCGGCCAGGTGATTGGCTTCCTCGGCCTGCTGCACCGAGTGGCTGATTTCCAGGCGCTGGCCGCCAAGACGGACAGCGTGATCCTGCTAGTCCTGCAGCGGCAGGTGTCGTTCTCGGACGGCGAGGATGTGACGGCGATGGCGGACGCGCTCAGCGCCGCCTGCTTCAACGGCGAGGCGGACAGCGCCATCAGGGACTTCACCGACGGCCAGGCGGTGGCATGGGCGGCTATCTGCCACGTGGGTCACCCGGAGAACAGCGTCGAGGAGGTGGGCCACGAGCAGGACGGCTTCTCAGTTACATCTCGTCTCACGCGCACCATCGGCACCGCCGAGTTTGTCGTCTACTCGGAGACAGAGCTGGAGGACGGCTGGCCATCCACGGCTGACGTGCTCTCGTACGCCCCTGGCACGATCCCGCCGAGGACGATGACGCTCAGTCTGTGAGGACGACGTCAGTGACTGGAGCGCGGGCGACACGAATCGTCGTCACGTCCACGGACTACGACTGGCGGCAGGCGGAGGAGTTCGTGCTGCAGCCGTGCGCCGACTGCGCCGCCGACCAGATCAGCATCGAGAGTCCGGCGGAGTTCACGCACTGGGGCGAGACCACCGACGGTGTGCGCATGGCCGCCGAAGTCGCGCTTCTCAACCGCAACGTTAGGATCCACGGCCGCATGGAGGACGCCTGCTACGGCGACAACAACTGCGACGACTTCAGCTTCGACACGTTCGGCGGCCACGTCAAGGTGCTGGCTGGCTTCCAGGCGGCCCGCATCGCCAACGCGGAGGTGTTCCACATGGGACAGAACTCGGTGCTTGGCGCCTACCCCATCCACTTCCACATGTGTGGCGACGTCAGCGCGCAGGCCTCGCCGCCGTACGTGCGTTCCAACGCCATCCATCATACGTTCGCACGCTGCGTGACCGTTCACGGCACTAGCGGCCTGCTGGTGGAGGACAACGTCGCCTTCGACCACTACGGCCACTGCTTCTTCCTGGAGGACGGTGCCGAACAGAACACGGTATTCCGCGGCAACCTGGGCCTGAGTACGCGGCGCACGAGCATCACCCCGACCGACCAGCGCATGGCGGCGACGTTCTGGATCACCAACCCGCTGACCACCATGGAAGGCAACGTGGCAGCCGGGTCCGATGCGTACGGCATCTGGTACACGTTCCCGCTGCGACCGATCGGGCCGTCGGCCGACGTCAGCGACATGGTGGCCGGCCAGGCGCTGCGCACGCCGCTCGCGCCCTTCGTCGACAACGTAGCGCACTCCAACAACGACTACGGCCTGCGACTCGACGACCTGCTGAAGACGAACGGCGGCGTCGGCGGCAGGTTCGCGTACGACCCGCGCGAGGACCCGCTCGACCCGACCTCGTCACCCGTGACCGTCACACTGCGCGGCTACAACGGCTACAAGAACTACAAGTCGGCGTGGCTGCGCGGCGCCAGCCTAGTAGCCGAGGATTTCAGCATCGCCGAGACCGTGGAGGGCGTGGTGTTCGCAAGCTCGGCGCCCGGTTCCAAGCGGCTGGTGCGCTCGCGCCTCGTGGGCGAGACGGCCAACAAGGGTAAGCCGGAGGGCTGGATTCCGCTAGCGAACGGCACGACCGTCTGGTGGGATCGCCAGATTCGCATGGGTGGCGCCAACCGCGCGCTGCCCATCATCGGCGCCATTTTCCTCGACGGCCCCGTCTCGCTGGAGGACGTCAGCTTCCATCGGTTCGCGACCAACGCGGTGCGGCCGTCGGGCGCGATCGGTCTCCGCCGCGCTTTGCGCTGGTACACCTCGCCGGCCAACCGCGTCGCCGGCGTGACGTTCGACTTCGCCGATCCCGCCGACGGCAACCGCGTCTACGACGCCAGCGAGGGCCAGGGCTTGCCGACCTGGCGGGGGAACATCCACTCCGTCTTTCGGGACATCGACGGCTCACTCACGACCTACGCCGGCGCGACCGTGGTGAAGCCGTACGCCGTGCATCTGAACGCCCGCTGCGCGCCCGTGCCCAACTGGAACCTGTACGTGTGCCCGGCTGCCTTCACCAAGTTCAAGCTCGAGTGGTACGACATGGCGTCCAGCCCAGTCACCTTGTGACGCGCGACGACGGCAGCGCCACGCACACAGTCTGCCGCGGCCGCGCCAGATCAGCTACGCCCTCAACTCGGAGGAGGGCTACATCCTACACTTCAACACCAGCGTGCCACGCTCCTTCAGCTTCACAGTCACCGGCCTACAGGCGGGCGTCGAGCAGCGGCTCGGCGTCTGCATCGGCCGCGACGCCACCGACGTGCGCATCAGCCTCACCGGCATCCCGACGCCGACGTTCGAGGACCTGCTCACCGGCTCGCCGGGCACGCAGGTCTTCCACGACCGCGAGCGGGGGCTGCTGCTGTTCCGATTCCGCGTGCCGTACGCGCTCAGCGCCGACACGGAGACGGAGTGTCCGGGCGGCGGTCCGTATGGCGCTTGCCCGGTCGTGAAGGTGTCCATGACGGCGGCGAGCGAGGACGGCGACTGCTCGGAGAGGGCGTACCCGACCTACGCCACCGCCCCACTCGACGCCGCCGGCGGTCTTGTCACACCGAGCTTCTAGGTGAGAACGGACACGGCGGACCGAGCAGTCCTCTGACGAGGCAAGGTGATAGCCGAGGTGGACAGCGCAGGCCATAAACTGAGTCAGAACGGTAGAGGCAGGGAGCAGGCGGCTTATTTTAGTATTTCTTTGGGTGTGCCTCGGAGCGTTTAACAAGCCGAATTCTGTGTGAAGTGGGGTTTGATATGATTTGGCCGTTCTGGCACCTCCTGCAGTTCGACGCGTACCGGTAACTGAACTGGACGCTGATGGCAGCTGTTGGATGATTGGTAAAATCGCTTATTGTCGATGTCAATCTGGGCGGCGTCAAAAATGTTTCAACTGCCACCGCATGCAAAATGACACGATGCTGTTGCAATGAAATGCCACGTTTCTGTCGTTGGAGCGTTGGAGGATGCGGCAGTGGAGCAAAGTAATGTTCTTCAGCTAATCATCACATCATGTCATCTGCGGGGCCAGGGCGCGGTGGTTCAGCTGTGCGTCTGGGACACCAGAGGCACTAGCGTTCGGTTCCCCACGGTGCCCGCCTTCCTACCAGAGTGAAGGGCAGACGTCATCATAAAGCCTCAGGTGCTGGGTGTGACGTAAATCTCTATTATCTGCACCATGCCATCGGACAAAGCTCCAATAACTACACCATGACATCGAGTAACATATACAAATAAGCTAACTATAGTATCAAAGTTTAAAGTTTGGCGTAGGTTGACACTGAACAGTCTGAGCTTGAAAAAGCTGCCAGAATGATAGCAATGCATTTCAGAGTGGTATCTTTTACCCAAGAAGCATAGAAATTCGCTTTGGGATGAACTTTCTGTGATAAGCAAGTATTATTTGTGACCTTTGAGAAAGATGTCGAGTCATAAATCATGAGAGATGAAGGCCAGGACATTAATTTTCGCGCACCTAAAAATGGTTTTAAATCAGCTATCTACAACTCCAGCACCAGAGTCACTTTGTGCCGTCTACCTCAGTGTACTGACCACTCATTATGGATTTGCGATGATGCATTACTGTCGTCAGACTTCACGGACTGATGTCATTACATACCTGACTGAGCTGGCTCTCATATCCATGGGTCCGCCCTTCTATTTCGGTGCTGCAGCCTTATGAAACTCTCCACTGTCCCTCTACCTTTGATGGTCAATAGTCCATGTGGACTTCCATTATTGCAACGGCTAGGTGAGGGTTTGCCCGACCACGCCTCTCATTGTTCTCTACGTTCTCAAATGAAACGCTGGCGTTGTAAGAAGTGTATTGCTGATGCCAAAATCATCATCGCAAAGCACACAAATATCGCGCTGACCCTCTGCACATCTTGAAGCATACAGGTAATGCGTACAGTTCAAGTGTTTCCAGCGGTGCACTCCATTTACATCGGAAAACGAAAAAATGGTCCATTATTAAGTAAAATAGTTGTTCAATGCCAGCCAAAATACAAAAGACACACTGCAGTCAAGTGATGGGAATTACTGTGAAATTCTGAGAATTGCGAGAGGAATTACACCATTCATCAATACACGCCAGGGGTGACCGGATGGATACGACGTGCTAGGGGCGTGTGTTTTGTGTTTAAGGAGGTTGGGTGAGGTGGGGGGGGAGGGGGGGGGGGGTGAGGGCTGCTAGACCCTCTAAGATCTCAAAGGCCAGACAAACTAGAAATACGGATGGGGCTGTTGTTCACAGGGCTGGTGGGCCTTTGGGTGAAATAAGTTGTGTTAAATTCTTAGGTATTTAGGCCGTGCTTGACGTGTCAACTAAGAACAAACAAGGACAAGCTTGGAATCGGTTGTCTGAAATAGCCCCAGATCTGCAAGAGCAACCAGTTTAATCTAGATACTTAACATAAGGCGAAGATCACCGAAAGTCATGTCAGGTCAGTTACCCTTTTAATCTCCAGAAGCTAAAATTACTATGACGATAGAATTCACTGACACGTTCTTTATGCTTATCTTAAATCAACGTCATGAGATACACTAGATAACATGTTTCTCAAAACATATCGTCGGGCCGGGATCATTTCTAGCCATTGACCCCGGTTGACCTTAAAGTAAACACGAGAAATCTGGTAACGTCGTTGTGATCAGATGACTTGAATTAAGCATCAAACTCTTCTCCACAAAACATATTTTTCATTAAAAAGTGATTTGGGTTGCATCTTGATCTGACCTGGCTTCTTGCCCAAGACACAATCTCAAATATGCTTACAACATGATCTAACACTCAGCTGTCTCATCAGCATAAATATTTACCAAGAAGTGTCTGAGCTGATAATCATGGTGGTTTGGACCCGCTACAGGTCCTCAGCCAATGAGGTGTATAATTAAAAATGTCAACAATTCCACTGTCTACAGCTATAGCAAATTTGGCGCCCGAACAAATAAGCCTCACGGAGTAAAAAAAAACCCAGCTGAGGCGCGTGTGCAAGCTCGACAGGATAACAACACTGCCACAACTATTACCATCCTCCTCTACAGAAGGCACACCACGGATCTGTGCTAGGTGACGTCGTGAGACCAGCCGGGTGATGAGATCCAACCTCACGACAAAACACTGGGCCCAGCGGAGGGGGAGGGGGAGTCTATGTCAATGTGGTAAGCCACCCCATCAGGAAAATTTTCTTACGCCGAGTAACCAATGAAAGTGAAGAGAAGCAAACAAACACGTGCTTGGGTTTTAAGATTTCTTCGCAGGAATGAGTCCTTGACTTCTGGATCTGGAACCGGCAAGACCCCCCAAGCACAAGTTTTTATACAAGCCGTAAATCTGACAAAAACGGCAGCAAAAGAAAGAATTATCTGACATTAAATTGTGCGGATAGGACAAGCACGGACCAGGATCCTTCTTGACACCACGCCAAGAACCTGGCATGGACCAAGGTCTGCCTTGGTACGTGCGCGGGTACCCACAAGAACCAGACCGAGCCTAGAGTTATTGCGATTTATTCGTTCGTGAAAGAACAAAAGGAAACCAGGGACCAGGCCTTGCTGGTCATGTAAAAATCACTAGAACCAAGAAATCCTATCTTGAGTTTTTCAAAGAACTTATGGGAAGCAGGAAGCAGGCTGGTGTTTCTCAAAGACCATGCCTGAAGACCGATCCGGAATCTCGTTCTCATGACATTGAAGTGGGAACCAGGTTCGGCTTTTGGGAACCAGTTTCGACTATTGGGAATCAGGCGTCTATGCTAGAGAAAAGCTTTTCTAAATTGCTGTCACCATTCCACGTCGGGTTATGGCGCCATTTTCGACCTAATGTCGCACACACTGCATTCTTCTTTAAAATGAACACGACATCAGGTTCAAAATTGTTTTACAATCTACATTTCTAGGGAGCCGTCAACAAATTTCGTTACGCTTTTTGCCTATGCTTAATCCTCCCTTGTTTCACGCTGGTTACGCTGGGTGACCACCCCTGTTTTCCCGCTGTATTAAACGCAACATCCTAAAGATTTAAAAAAGTTTTCGGCAGGACGCATCAGCCTGACCCCAGTGCAACGTCGGCCTGTCCAAAACCTCCACCTGCTTTTCCTTTTTACACTGACGTTAAGCTCCATCCCATCATAATCCCTCCTTTTCTCACCATGTGTAAAGTAATTTTAATAGCGCCACGTATAGTCGAGATGCCAGATCAGTGCGCAACCCGCCGTCCAGCGCCTGGCGTACAGCTGACCGGCCTCCAGCGCCTGGCAGACAGCTGACCGCCGTCCAGCGCCTGGCGGACAGCTGACCAGCCGTCCAGCCCTGGCGACAGCTGAGGCTGCTTAGTCTCGCGGCAGCCATTAGAGACAGTGTCTGACCACTTGCGACCGTGGGTTCCATCCAAGTGTGTTATTCCACATAATTCCTGCTACTGACAAGCGTGCCCCACCAAACGGGACCAGGTGGGAGACGGTTGCTCAGCATGGATTACTATCTTTAATGCCATCGCGTTGATCCAGGTCACCGACTTTTTGGATTGTCCTATCGCTGGTAGTCCAGTTTCGAACGCCAGCTCTCGCACAGTGTTCTGATTGGGCTGGCTGCCGTTAAGCGTGGAGGACCGGGGGCGAGCCAGACCCCGCCCCACGCGTCACGGCCGGCAGCCGGTACCTGCGCCTCCAGCCTGCCGTCAGAAAGGTCAGGGAGTCAGGCAGGTTCATCATCTCATGTCACCTTTCCCATTAAAGTCATGCAGACAGGTTAAGGTAAATTGAACATTGTCATTTTCCCAGCATTCATCATTTAAGGACACTTCATTTTCTTCCGGTGATGACATGCTACCGTCACCATTAATATTAGCACTGCGATGACTACTGTAAATGAAGACACCATTTGAAAATATGTAGTGCAAGCCAGCGCGGTTGAGACACAGTAAGCGCGTGGCAACTGCACTGACCTGTATCTGAAGTGCGTTGACGTGCCGAGGCTCTTGACCTGGTCACCGTAGCGCAGGATCGAGTAGTTGTCAGGTCAGTGTCGGTGTGTCGGTGCTTCGCTCCAGCACCGAGTGGAAGTTCCAGCCGTCGACCGAGACGGAGGTCACCAGCAGCGTCCAGCCGCCGCCCAGGGTCAGGGTCATGTCGCAGTACAGCGGCACCGGCAGACCGATCACCCTGTAACACGCATCGGTCGTGTAGCCGAGCGCCTGCAGTTGGCGACAGCTGCCGGCCGGCCGCTGCAGCGCCACATCCGCCGACAGCTGCCGGCAGCAGCGGCGTAGCCGCCATCAGGTCGGCCCACTAGCTGGCAGCTGCCCCCAGCCCGGAAGTTGGCCGCCACACAAGGCGGCGAGCGGAGGCAGAGCAGGGCGCATGTGACGACCGACTGAGTCGCCTCCGTCTCGACCACTGCCGACGGCGAGGCCAGGCCCGCGTGGGTCGTTATCAGAACTGCCTGGGAGGCACCGCTGAGCGACGTCCGGAGCAAGACGGCCCAGCAGAGCACGGCTGCTGACCGCCGCCAGCGACGCACCGCCGCCGGACGCCGCATCGCTGTTGATACAGGGGTCGGTCGGTGCTCCGC